TCCATCCACGTCCCCATCTCCCATACATGCCACTGGTGTTCTCTCATGTCAGAAAGGCCTGGCCTGCTTCCTGGGCCGGTGGCACTGAGCTCACTCTGTCCCGGCACCTCTCGTGGGTCACAGCTCATGGGCTGGTCCTGCCCGGGTGCCACCCTCCCCGTTGGTGTGGAGGAGGCAGCAGTGACCTGAGGTGGACGTGTCTGACGGGCAGCCTGGCTTTGGGTCATCACTGGGCTACGTGGGGTCAGTGGAGGAGGGGGCGGCTGAGGGGACCCAGCAGAGATGGAACCCCTCTGAGCTGGAATGTGGGACAACCATAGTGCCTTCCACATGGAGGGATTCTGAGCCCCAGAGGTGGCTCCAAAATGCAATCCACTCTGCACTCAGTTTTAGCTACGACTACTGGCAGGAGTAGTGTGGACACCCCATGTGCGGACAGCTCTGAAGCCCATTCCAAGTGCACTTCAAGCTTGGAACCTTCCCCTCCACACCTATCCACCTATAAAGTGGGGATGCTGATATGCAGGACACCGTGGCCAGGCACCTGTAGCACCCACGTCATCTGCCCAACCTGGGCTGCTGCCTGCTGTCCCTGGCTGGCTGTGCCCACATGGTGGGGAGGCTGGAAGGAAGACACCGTGGCTGCCTGCTCAGCTTCGGAACTGTGGGGAGGTGAGCGCTGTGGTCTCCCTGTGGTGCAGAGAGGGAAATGCAAATCTCAAGTGTGCCAGGGAATTGTGGTTCAGTTGCCTGTAGTGGATGGAGATGCAGCAGGGGCCATTGGTGCAGGTGCTCAGCGTCGGACACAGAATCCCAGACTTCACAGTAGGGAGGGACTCAGTCTCCAGGGCCCAGAGAGGGGAAAGGACTGCCTGATGCCACAGAGAAGGCAGGCAGCAGGGGTAAGTGCACAGGAGCTCTGCAGATCAGCTCAGCCCGGCCTCCAACTGTGGTACAATAAACTCACCACACTTCTCCTCTGTTTCGTCTTGGGGGCGTAAGTGTTGTCGCCACCTCCACCTCACAGAAGAGGAAACTGAGGCAGGCAGGGGAACAGTTCCCACCAGCCCCAGGCTGTCAGACTCTGAAACTCTGATCCCAGGACACTGGAAGTGGCTGAGAGGTTGAGGTCAGGGGTTACCTAGAGGCCCGGAAGTGCAGGCCCAGCCTCTGCTGCTCCCATCTGTGTGTCTGTCAGCTTCTGTCACTGTATACACAGCTGAGACAGCTGGGCATGCGGAGGAGAGGCTGTGATTCCAGCACTCTGGGAGGCTGAGGCAGGAGGATCACAGGTTCTGGACAATTTAATGAGATCCTGTCCTAAAATAAAAATGAAGAAGTACCAGGAATATAACTCAGTGGAAGGCCCTGGGTTCAGTCCCTGGTACCACAAAAAGACAAAGAAAATGCAAGCTGAGATCATCAACTTATTAAGAGAAAGAGTTTACTTTGGCTCACATTATGGGCAGCTCTAGTCCACGATCAAGTGGCCCTATTGCTCCGCCCCATCCCCTTCCAGAGCTGTCCCCAGTGACCTCACTTCCACTCTGGCCCTGGACACCCCTGTCTCAGCACAGCAGAGGCCGCTGTGTCCCAAGGCCTGCAACAGCCTAGCACCAGTGACTTCGCTGTTCATCTGTCATTTCACCAGGCTTCCATGGAACATCGGGCAGTATAGTTTTTATTTCCTTCAACCTGAGTCCCTTCTTGATCATCCAAAAGCAAAGCGTGGCCCTCATTGTGTTTCCTTCTTCCTCCTTGGCCAGGAAAATGACAGCATTTGCTTGGGAAAAGCCCAGAAGCAATCGGGATAGCAACATACCCTGGAAATGCATGGGGCTCCGAGGGAAGAGCTTAGCTTCACTGAGTGCTGGCCCAGCTTTGGGGGACTCAGGGCCTCAGCTGCAGGCAGGGTGGGAGTGGGCTGCACCTCCAGGTAATAACACAGAGGGGCCATGGGACCCAGCAACCCCACCCTTGCTGCTAGCACTAGAAATGAAATGCAAGTCCACACAGAGCCTAGCACAACCCATATGCCCACCTGTAGCAGGTTCGACCCAGTGTGGTCCATCCACCCTGTGCACACTGCAGGCCCCAGAGGAACCGGGCATGGATCCTCCATGACCTGGACGAAGCTTCACTGGCACAGCACTCAAGGCTCGAGGTGCACACACAGCCCCATGAGGGTCCATGTGGGGATCCCTTGGAGGCAGAAAGAGAGGTTGAGGCAAGACATGGAGGTTAAGTTTTCAAAGTGCCTCTCTCTGGAGCTGTCACAAGGCCACCCCTGCTAACCTGGGGACACCACACATCTCTCCGAGGGGACACCCAGGTGTCCTGTACCTGCACCCGTCCCTCTGTCTGTCCCCACCTTCGTCTCACAGATTGGAGACACTGCCCCCAGATAGTCACATGGCTCCAGTTACTTGGGGTGTCGGGGGACCCTGGTCCCCTGGGCTCCTGTCACCGTGTAAGTGTCCTCTGTACCCTGCTCTCCATCGAAGGCCTGGCCCCTCAGCACAGATGGTCCCTGTCTTCCCAGAGACCCCACCATCCCTTTGAGGAATGGAGCTCACAGGGGTCAGATTTGAGGAGCTGCTGGAGACCAAGGGATCTCAGGGCACCAGGGGCTGATGTGGGAGGAGCGCAGATGTGAGGGCTTGGGGTCCCAGATTTGTATCCCGCTGCCCCTCCAAGCACCCTGCTGCCTCTGCTCTCGGGGCCTCTCTGTCCCTGTCCCCCTTCCCAGCTTCAGGTCACCCAGCTAGGCCCCATCTCATCCCCCCCCACTGGCCGGTGGCCAGGGAGGCCCCGCCCCATCCAGCTGCATGTGCCCGGCACATCAGCACATCGTCTCCCGGGGAGCATTCTGCTGCCTCATGAGCTCCAGCCCTGGCTGTGCCCAGACTGCAGCTCTGGGGTCTATGACCCCAGATGGAGTTGGACAGTTGGACGGCGCTGGTCCTCATGCAAAGGGGGGCACGCGTCCTCACAGTGAGTCACTTAAGGTGACCAGCTCTTTCACACAGCTTAAACTCATGCTCCTAGAGTAGAGGTAGAGGGCTGGGGATTTAGCTCAGTGGTTCCACCGCCTGCCTCGCCAGTGCAAGGACCTGAGTTCAGTTCCCAGTACTAAAAATAAAATTTAAAAAAATAAAATAGAGTAGAGGTAGACAGCTCAGTTGAGTCTCCACAAGTTCTTCTGCCCTGGCCAGAGGACCTGCTCCATGCCAGGTGATGGCTTCTTCTGTTCAGTCCCACTATGAACCTGCATTGCTATCCCTACTTTACAGGTGAGAAACAGAGAGTCTGAGTGAATTGTCAAAGGTCACACAGCAACTGTCCTCTACTGATCCCAAGTCTTAGGCCTCATGGTCACTGAATTGATGGTGCCAAACACCTGATTTCCCCAGCATGTGACTCCACAGCAAGCCCCTCTTGGGGCGAGCGTATGCCTACTTCCTGGAGAGTCCCCAGGCAAGGCACCACAGGAGCCAGCAGTTTCAAGGTGCTGTAGAGATGTTCTGAGCCCCACAGGCTCAGCCAGGATGCAGACCAGGTGCCCTCTGACCCCTGGTCTTCATCATGCCAATGGGCAAATCTGATAACCCACCAGAGGCAGAGAGGGCAGAGCCAGTGCTTGCTCAGCTTGGATGTGCTGGGTGCCATCCTGCTCCATGCTGTTTGATGCCCATGGTAGTTGCCATTCACACCGTGCAGTGAACAGAGTACTCTGCCAGTGCTGCCGCGGGCCAGGCGCTGAGCAGCTTGGAAGCAGCCAGGTTGGAGTGCAGACCAGGCTCTCAACTCAGGGGCCCAGGCTTGCATCTCTGCTCCCTCCTGCCTGACCCTCAAGACTCAGTGACATGGTAACATGGTGAGACACAGCTCCACAGTGCTGCCTGAACCCATGCGGCTCGGATTCAGCCTCAGAGACAGGACCCTCGAACGTTCAGGGGCCTGTGTCGGCCATGTTCTCAGCTCCCAGGCTCTGTGAAGCTGGATGGGCTGAGCTGTGGGGCCTGAGGAGTTTTAAGCAAGGAGCCACTCGATCAGAGTGGGCTTTGAGAAGGTGGCTCTGACCTGGAGGCGATTGGGTGACAGGGATGGGAAAGCAGCTGCCATGGACACCCAGGTGGGACATGGCCTGGGCCACAGAGGCCAGGGACTCAGGGATGTCGACAGGAGAATTTTGAGGAGGTGAAGCAGACGAGGTGCTCCTGACCCAACTGAGGACCACTCCTTCCTGGGGGTCCTGGGAGGGAGGGACAGGCACACTCAGCAGCCGGTGGGAGGCGTGTAACTTGTGTAAAGTACGCTTGTTGGCTCTCCCTTGAAAGACAAGGCCAAGAAAGTCAGTTTCAGAAAGGAAGATGAGGTGTGAGCTGAGGGGAGGGAGTCGCCATGAAGTCAGAGCCCGCAGGACAGGCTGCCATCGCAGCCCCTGTGCCTTCTGCTGGCCGTGGCCCCCATGCACAGGAAGGCCCAGCTGCTCTGGCACACCGCTGGCGGCCTGGACACCAGGCATTCTGGAGATGAAGCCACAGTTCTGGCTCCAGCATGGTTGAGAAGCAGCTCCAGGAGGCCTGGGGCCTGGCCAGCTCCATGGACTCAGCCATGGGGGTCACATACCCGAGCCCATCATGCCGGAGCTTCTGTTGGGCAGGCCGGGAAGCAGGAGTGAGTGAGTCATAAAAGTGAAGTGTGACCAGGTTCCTGGACCTGGAGCACAAAAGTGGTTTTGTGAGAAGTGTCAGAGCCATGATGGCAGGGCTGGAGGGAGCCACAGGAGGTTTCGGAGCAGGAGAGGAGCCAGTGCCCCTCCACCGCTGCTTCTCTGGGTTCTCCCTGCTGGCCCCACCCAGCATGAAGCGGGCAGTGTGTGGAGCACATGTGGCGGCCCAACTCCAGCCTCAGCCGTGGGCAGCCCCGGGGTAGGGGATGCCGAGTGGAGGTGGCCCTGCCAGCAGGCAGCTCTGACCCTCTCTCCCTCTGCCCAGTGCCTACACCGAGCCCTACAAGGTCTGTCCTGTCTCAGCAACGGTGCCCAGAGGGGACCTCGCATCCGAGGAGGAGCAGGGCAGTTCTGAGGAGGAGGACGACACCCCAAGGGACCCCAGCGTCACACACAAGGTAGGCGTGGGAGGTGGGGGCGGGGGGCAGTAGATGGAGAGAGTGGGAAGAGCTGCCTGGAGCCACTCAGCTCTGAGGTGTTGAGGCATCCAGAGCCGGGTTTGGTGGCTGGAGCATAGCTCCTCAGCCTGAGCTCTTGGCCTCAGTCTCCCCATCTGGGTGATGGGGTCCCCAGGGCAAGGAGCACTGAGGGGTGCAGAGGACTTTGTTCCCAAAGCAACAAGGAGATAGCTGGTCCCTGCCCCTCTGAGCACTGTGAGGTGAGGGGCCCAGGTCACAGGGGACCCCTACTCCTCAGAGTAACAGCACCTGCACTCTGAGGAACTCGTGTGATCCCATCCTCTCTACGCAGCCTGGGGACCCAGGTCCTGGGTAGGCAGTGTCCCCAGAGTCTTCAGGGAACAGGGCCAAGGGTTCAGATCCTACAGGCTGCAGTGCTCACATCCTCTGCTGTCTCTGAGTCCACAGGGCCTGGACTTGGTGTAGGAAGCCCCAGAGCCCTGGACCCAGACCCTGACAGCTGCCTGAGCCACCCCAGTAGGGGCAGGGCTGGGGTCACGGGGGCAGGGAGTTCAACTGGCCCAGCCACTTGCTGGTTGAGAGGCGCAGGCAGCTTTGGAACCTCCTGCCCTCAGTATCCCTGTCTGACCTGACGTCGTGGCTGTGGACCCTCTTGGGACAAAGAGGGAGGGACAGTGCAGGGTACCACCCTTGCCATGATGCCCACAGTGACAGTGCCATGGGCTCGGCACCACAGACAGGTCCCTCATGTGTTGATTTGGAGCTTGGGGGAGAGAGAACACTGTTGGTAGAGCTGATGTTTGTGCAGAAATCATCAAACCAGGAGAAATCCAGGGATTTCCTCAGAGCGGCTCAGAGCTCTGTGCTACGGGCTCTCGGGGCCACACATCCACTGCAGCCATGTTGGGGCTTTCCTGCACCCCAGAAATGGCTCCTGTTCTGTGTCCTGCTCGCCCCACTGCAGCGTGCCCCATTCACACACCTCCTGGTGCACGCACGTGTGAGGTCTCAGAGGGGAGCGCCGGCCAAGCCATGCAGAGTCCTGGCTCCTTACACCGCAAGGGAAAAGCACAATCTCTAGGGCAGATCCCAAGCAGGACTGAGTATCAGACATGGTTTCAGTCTCCCCAGGGACAGGGCCGACTGCTCCCTGCTGGGGCCAGAGCAAAGGTCAGTCGGAAGCCCCACCCCTGCGCAGCAAGTGGAAATGAGGACCGAGAGGTCACTCCCTCCTCTTTCCCTTGTCCCCCAGGGTCAGAGAAATTTATTTCTCCAAAAGGCAAAGATCCCTCCCGCCCCAGGATGGAAAATGGGGGAAACGTTTCCCTTCTCCAGTCCTAGAAGAGCAGGCCTAGAGGAGACAGGCAGAGCGGCTGGCGTGTTGGGGGCCTGGGAAGCCAGGTGCACTGAGAGAGACCTGGGCACCAGGCCAGGAGGCTGAGGCCACCGCCCCCACGCATGTGGACACCCTCTCCCGCCCACCCCAGACCGCAGAGGGCACAGGTGGCAGGAGGGGGAGAGGAGCCGAGACTTGGAAGGTTTGACAGTGGCTGTGGCCACATGAAAGGTACATCAGAGGCTGGCAGTGTCCATCCCACTGAGCAATGCCTGACCCCCAGACAGCAGAAGTGGGGCATGGCCCTCCAGGTGCACCTGCGTCACCTGGTCACCCTACTGTACCTGTCCCTGCTCTGTCACTGTGCTGCCCCACCCTGCACTTCCTCAGTGGTTCAGTCTAGAAGGGAAGAGATGCCTGGAGGGAGCCCCCTGAGCTGGACATTAGGCTCAGCCCCTTCCCCTAAGTGAGGGGAGCAAACACAGACTTCCTGCGTGTGGGGCAGCTGTAGCCATATAGGAGCTTGCTGGAAATGCAGCAAGTCACACGGTGTTCAGTGGGGCCCAGGCTGCCACCCAAACACCCTCCAGGCCATCGGCAGTGAGGGCTCTGCCACCAGGCCCCGGGGACTGGAGACCCCAAAGGCACTGCTGCATCTGTACACCTAAGTCCCCCTCTTCATGTCCCCCGTGTGAACAGATAGAGGCACACATGGGAGCTGCACACCCACATGCTAATGTGTGTGCACCTACAGGGGAATATCACTCAGCCCTGAAAAGGAGCCCTCCCGTTTGTGACAATGAATGTGAACCTGCAGGACGTGGGGCTGGGTGACAGAGCCAGCACAGTGGGCACTCGTTCAAAGATTCCACTCCTGTGAGGGGAGTGTGGGGGCCTTGAGGGAGACACAGGAGCCTGGCATGCACAGGGCTGTGGGGACTCAGGACAGCTCTGCTCAGTGTGTCACCAGCAGAAGTTGCCCACAGCAGCCCGCAGCCAGGTCGGGAGAGGGGCCAGCTCTCCCAGGACCTCATCCTCCAACCCCAGGGCAGCACACCATTTCTCTGGTCCCTGCAGACTGTGCCTGCACCCGGGCAGGGTCCCCACAGTCAGAGCTCTCTGGGGAGCACAGCCCATGCACATGCACACTGGTCCCTGAGCTGAGCCACTCCCCTCTCGTCCCCTGCTCTGTGTGGTCCCAGGAGCTGGGCAGCTGGGTGAATGGCACATTGGGTTGGATCAAAGGAAGCCACCAGCAGAGGGGACAATGACCTGCTGAGTGGGCGAGGCTCGGCCAGCGCTCCCCAGACAGGCTCACAGCTGGGACAGGTGAAGACCTCGGATGCCAGAGTGAGAGACACAGGCAAAACATGGGCAACCGAAAGGAGCAGACCCTTCTCAGAGGAAGAAAGACAAACGGCCAACGAATACACGAGAAATGCTCAACACCACCGCCACCGTCAAGAAATGCAAAGGAAAAAAACAACGCGATTCCATCCTGCTTGAGAAAGAGCAGCCGTCATGGTGAAATCAACCAATAACAAATGCTGGCGAGGCTGAGTGGGAAAAGGAACCCATTTACCTTGTTGGTGGGAGTGTGAACGAGCACAACCACTATGGAAATCAGGATGGAGATTCCTCAAAATCTGAAGCTAGAAATTCCATTCCACCCACCTATTCCCCTCCTAGGTATCTTCCCAAAAGAGTTAAACTCATCATATTACAGTGATCCATGCACACCCATGGTTATAGCAGCACAGCTCACAATGGCCAAATCTTAGAAGCAGTCTGTGTGTCCATCAACAGATGAATGAATAAAGAAAATGTGGTATTTACTCACCATGGAGTAATATTGTGTCATAAAGAAGGATAAACTTGGGCCAGGGATTTAGCTCAGTGGTTCCAGCACCTGCCTCACAAACCCAAGGTCCCAAGTTCAATCCCTGGTACCAAAAAAAAAAACAAAGAAGGATAAACTTGAGTCATTTGTAGGAAAATAGATGGACCTGGAGACCATATATTTTTTTTTTTGATACAGGGGATCAAACTCAGGTCCTTGGGCTTGCCCAGCGGGCATCGAAACCACTGAGCTAATTCCCTCGCCCCTTGAGACCATAATATTAAGTGAAATAAATCAGACACACAAGCTTCAATATTGCATGGCTTCTCCTATGAGAAACACAGAGATTTAGTCATTTTTTTTTTTGTACCAGGGATCAAACTTGGGACCTTGCGCTTACGAGGCAGGTGTTGGAACCACTGAGCTAAATTCCTGGCCTGAGTTTTAGTAATTTAAAGAGCAATAAAAGAAAAGTCATAGGAAACAAGGAGATAGACTTTGTGGAGATGGAGAGGATCCGGGGATGAGGAAAGATGAGAGGGAGATGAGAGTGGAAAAGAAGAAGAAAATGAGCACTCTTGCCAGGCACGGGCATGCCACAAGTCTGCCATGCCAGTCCTCAGGAGGCTGAGGCAGGAAGATCATGAGTTCAAGGCCAGCCTGGGCAACTTAGCAAGATCCTGTCACAAAATACTTCAGTCAACAACGAGTGCTGTCCAGAGCTCCTGTCACAAGTTCTCTGCTGCTGTGGGGGGCTGCGCTGGAACCAATTCCTGACCCGCTGAGCCTCGGGAGTGACAGTGTCTGCTTGGGGCAGTGGGGCCAGGGGACTCCCTTCCCTGGGTTGGCATGAGACACTGCCACAGGCCACCCCGACCCTGGATACACAGGGACTCCCAGTGGCCACACAGGCTGCCCTCCCTGTCCCTGGGTGATACCACCTGGTCCTGGGCCCCAGTGACAGCCGCCCTGAGCCAGATCCAGCATGTCACAGGGGCAACCTGAGATGTTAGAACTTCTGAGTTTAAATTCATGTGAAATGTGAACTCATTACATGTCAACATAAGCAGCATTTTGTAGGGAAAACCTCTGTTTTCTAAAATGAGCAGCACCTATCAGCAGCAGCGTGGTGTGGGCCGCACATTCTCACCAGGCTCGCCCGCTGTCCACATCAGTCCTCGGAGCTGTCACCCATGTGAGGGGCATCAGAGGGCAAGGATGGGACCAGAGGTCCTTGGACCACACCCCGGGGGGCTGGTTTGCAGATGGTGGCCAGGCACCCCCACCTAAGAGCTGGAGAAACTGAGGCACAGAGACAGAAGACCAACACTCCTGACTCGGGAGTCCCTGGAGGACAGATGGTCCCTCCTGGCCACCGCGGGTTGTGGCCAGGACTGAACCAGACAGTTTGCTGGTGTCCCGGGAGGAAGCTTGGCTGGGCCAGGGCCACCGGCTGTCACCTCCACCCCCAGTCCCAGCCTGAGAGAGGAGCTGCATGGGCCCTGCCTGCTCCGACCCTGTTTCAACTTCGAGTAAGTTTCATGGCTAAACAAACATCCCCTTAAACACCCAGGGGGCACCGCCCAGATGTGCCTGGCCCTGGCAAAGATGCATCGTCACCCTGAAGTCCATCTGGCTGGAAGCTGGGTCATGCAGAGAAGCCCGAAGTCTGTCCCCACTGCCTGCCGCCATGACCCCAGCAGCCTATGCCAGGCAGGGAAAGGCTCCCACTATTCCTTGCCTGGTCCTGCAAGCTGGGCTCACCCTGGTTCTGAGCAGCCCCCCACGGTCACATGACCTCTGGAGGGCAGACCCCACCAGCCAGAGCTACCGAGAGCAGGGGCACCATTTACCACATGCTGTGGTCCCCGACTTACAGCTTTCTCAGCTTTGCAGTGGGTTTGTTGGGGTACCAAACACACATGTTTTGAGACAGTGTCTCACTGTGTTGCCCAGGCTGGTCTGAAACTTCTGGACTCAAGGGATCCTCCTGCCTCAGCATCCCTACTGGCTAGGAGCACCAGCGCTTGTCACCATGATAGGTTGTGTACATCTGTGACTTGTGACATCAGCAGGGCTTCTCGGGACAGAGCCACCACAAGTCGGTGCCAGACTGTTGGGCTCTGCGAGGCCCTGCCACTTAGTAGGCAGCTGGTGGGACCTGGGTTTCCTCATCTGTGCCGCTGCCTCACCGTCGAGTCAGGGTCACCAGGGCTCCTGCTTTGCAGATGACCTCAGAGCCAAGAAGTAACTGCCCCAGGCTCAGGGACAGAAAGGGGACTCCTGGGCTGGGTGGCTTGGGAGGCTGCAGGTCACTATGACCCCTGTCCTCATCCTGTGGGAAGAAACCACGCAGGAATCTCCTGGCTGCTGCCCTCTCCCCAGGAACGGCTCTCTGTGTGGGGACTCCACAGGGTCTCCTGGACCAGCAGAGTGTGGTTTCCCTCACAGGGTCTTACATGCATGTGACTGCCTGAGCCCTAGCAGCCCTGAGGGTGCGGGAGGCAGATACAAGTCCAACTGGTACCCTAGGGCGGCAGGGACATCTTGGGCCTCAATGTCCCCTCCGCTCCTCCAAGCCTGCAGGGGACGCAGATGGGGCCACCGCCAAGGCTTGCCCAGTGTGAATGGCCTCAGAGAGGCAGAAACTCCAAACACACTTTGTTACAGGCCAGGAAATTTCAGGATGGGCTGGCTGGGAGAGAAATGTGTTTATTTAGTGCCTGCTGCATGCTGTGCACTGCATCTGACTCGCCAGCTGCTCTGAGGACACATGAAGGGACAAAGACCACTGCTGGGGCTCCAAAGAGGCCAGGGCTCTGTCCAAGGAGGTGGCTGTCCTGTGTCCACAGCTTCCAACCTGCTGGACCCCACATTTCCCTTCTCCTCCAACCCAGGCCCTCGGGCCCATGCTGAATCCACCCCAGCAAGAGAATCAGCCCAATGATCCCAGTGATAGCCAGGTGCAAGGGAAGTGTGAACAGAGGTCTGCACACACACATGCGTAGCTTATTATCCATCGCATGGCCTGGCCCAGGTCACACCAGAAGTTCGAGGTGTGGAAGGCTAAGGGGCCATTCAGCCAGTGAGTCAGGGCAGCAGCCCAGTTCTGGAGTCTGCGCTTGTAACCAGACCTTGCTGTCGGTCTCCTTGGGTAGTGAGCCTCCCATTGGTCTCAGAGGGTCAGCTCAGAGGGCGTCGAGTGGTTCTTCGTCCACACACAGGGAGACCGAAGCTGGCCTTGGAGAGCAAGTGTGTGGGAGGCGGGGCTGGAGCTGACAGGAGCCTGCATGTGCCTGGTGCCCTACGTGCCCCGAGGGCCACCTGCCTTGCCACCCCTGCACTTGCCCACCAACATCTCGGTCACGAAGGAGCTCTGGCCACGCAGAGGCGGCAGCGTGACAGGCTCAGTCCCTCCCTCAGGCGAACACTCAGAAAGCTCCCTGGCATGAGCCGGGGTGGCCCAGAGCATGGTCAGGACCCTGATGGCCCTGTGCCAGGCCTGAGCCATATCTGCACCAAAGACAGGGAGGATGAGCCACTCTGGGGAACACGCAGTGGCCCTAGGTCTCTCTGCTGACCACTCTGTTCCCTCAGGTGCAAGGACCATCCCGAGCCCTGGTCATCGCGCAGGAGCTGCTGTCATCAGAGAGAGCGTGAGTCCCCGCTGCCCTTGAGGCTGGCCCGCCCTTCGCCCCCCAGTGTGCCTGGGATGCTAACACACCACACCCCTCTTCTCGCAGGTTCCTGCAGACACTGGGGCTCGTGTGCCTGGTAAGTGCCTCGGTCACTGTCCTTGCTCATGGCCCTGTCACAACTGTGACTCAGGGGCAGCAGTGGTTTCTGTCATCAGGCTGGCAGCAGCAGGCCCAGCCACTTTCTGGGAAGCTGTGTGCTGATGCCTGGCCCGGGATATGGGGCACACTGGGGTCCCTGAGGGGTGTTGGGAGGGCCAGAGGGGCAGCCGGGCACTGCTATGTGTGCCAGCTCCTATGAGGCTGGGGACGGAGCCTGTGGAGAAGGTGACAGCAGCTCAGGGAAACAGAGGCATCCACGGCACCCAGCCCTGGGAACAATGATCTCTGATGCCCAGGCTGGGCACGGGCTCCCTCACGTGTCGGAGGGACAAAGCTAGACTCGGGGCCCCTGCCAGGCCATCGGGATTGCCCCCACAAGTCCTGTGCTGGGGACCTCTCAGCCATGCAGGGGACAGATGAGGGATGGGGCCATCAGGAGTACAGGGTGTGGCCCCAGGAGTCTGGTCCCTGGCCTGGGGAGGGGACTGTCACAGGGCAGTGGGGGGTGGGGAGGGAACTGGCCCGTCCCCGCCTCACACAGGACGGGTCAGTGCGGCAGAGGACGCCCCTGAGGTCCTCTAGCCCTGCTCCTGCCTTGCCAAGGGCCAGGCTCTGGCTTACAGCTGTGTTATGAGCCCCTAACCCGGTGGCATCTATCCGTGTGGATACCGCTTCCTGTCAGCTGCTGACCCAATCCAAATGCTGAGAAAGAGCAATGAGATCAGGGAGCTCATGGCTGGAAATGTGCTTCAGGCCCATTCACCCCACTGCGCCTGCGAGGATGACACCCCTCATGGCCCCAGTCTGAGGTCATCCGCCCGCTGGCACCTGGAGCCTGTGCACCCTCCAGCCCCAGGCACCCTCTCCACTGCCACCCGCCGCCCTTCCTGCCGTGGTCCCCCGGTCTCCCCACACTCTGTGCGCCTGTTCGCCCCCCTCAGCAGCCGCTCACTGTCCACCTCCCTGCCCAACCACCCCACCACCTACCCACCCACCCAGCTAACCGAGCAGCCACTCGCCCACCCTCCATCCATCTGTCCATCCGTCCCTCCTTTCACCCCTCTACCCTTGCACCTCTCCACCTGTCCATCCCTCCTTCTACCCCTCCATCCGTTCATCCCTCCATCTGTCCGTCCCTCTCTGTCCATTCCTCCATCTGTCCATCTGTCCATCCGTCCCTTTTTCCACCCCTCCATCTGTCCACCAAGCTTGCCCATTGGTTCTGGGAGCCTCACAGGAAGTCTCTGAGATGGGCTCGGAGCCCAGCTGGCCAAGCCCAGAACCAGCCCGGCATGGGTTTCTCCTGCACAGTGGCTGCAGAGGGGGAGCTACTTCCGCTCCTGTGCGACTGTTCAGCTCGCCCAGCGGGAGTCCTTGCACCTTGGGGTCACCGGGATGTTCACAAGAGAACCCTGAGACTGACTTGGAGGTGCTGGGGGGCAGGAGGGCAGGGCGGCGTGGCATGGTCCCCAGGCACCAGAGGCCAAGTCGGGTCTGGAGAAGGCTCAGGGGCCTGGTGAGCACCCGACGGCTCAGGGAGCTGGGGGTGACTCCCTGTGCGTGGATGCCGGGCGAGGGCAGGCAAGGCCAGGAGTGGGTGGAGATTCTGTGCTTGCTGCACACCAGGGAGATTCCAGAGCAGAGTCCCTCCATGGCAGGGCATGCCTACCCCTCGTCCTCCTACACACATTGGGTGGTGAGTCCCACGCTGTGGCCCCAACAGCCTCTCTGTGGCATTTCGAGGCTGGGCCTGGGCTCTTTGCAGCTGGCGTCAAGCTTGAGGCCTAAGCAGCAGGCAGGAGGAAACACATGGCATTTTTACTGCCTTGCCTGGGCATCACAAGTGACTTCCTGCACACCCTCCTAGTCAAGTCCCAGAGGTCCACCCTCATTCAGGGAGGGGACAGCATCCCCTGGTGGGAGAGAGGGATATTGCTGTGGTCCTTCCTGGAAAATGGTGCCTTTTCTACTAATCCTGCGTCAGGAATTGTCCTTGACTGCTCATAACTAAAGCCCGGTTATGAGCTCTTAGTATGGGGGCTGCTCTCTCACCCAAAATAAATCCAGGAGGAGGAAATCCACAAGCCATAGGCTGAAGGTCCCATCTATCTCTGGAATTCTTTGAAGCTTATTCCTAGCACAGGGTGGCTGCTGCAGTTCTAGCCATCATATCAGTGTCCCAGGCAGGGAGGAGAAAGGGAGGAAGCACAAGTGTGTGCCTTCTAGCCCAAGTAGCCTGTTGGAAATACTCCAAGTGTCACTGGATGACTTCTTCCACTTCTTTGTGAACTAGTTTCAAAGCAAGCTGGATGAACTGGTCAAAGCTGAGCTCTGCTCAGTGCATTTATCCAGGTGCCAGCTGAGGGCAACAGGACAGAAGAAGTTCTGTGACAGCAGAACAAGGGACGTGGCCTCTGCCCGCGTCCCACTAGCCGGGCCCTGCTACCTGAGCTTCCAGTTCGCAGCACCTCCCTCCTCTTCTGCTCTGCTCTGCCTGCAGTGATTCCCGAAAGTGCTTCCCAGATGGCTGCTGCTGTTGCTGCAACTCCGTCCTCTTAGGTTTCCAGAGACTAAGCTGCAGCCTGGACCACGCTCCTGTGTGGATGCGCTGCTGGGCGGGGGGGGGGGTCCCATCTGTCACGGGACTGGCAGGGGTGCTGCCCCGGCCGCTCCTTGGCACCTCCCTGTGCTTCCCTCTGGTCTGGCTCTGCGTCCTTCAGGGCTGGGTTTGGTGTGTTGACCACTAATCGCCCACCTTGCTCTGTGGCCTGCACCTGGGGAAGAGCTGACTCTCCCCATGCCGGTGGCCTTGTACTATGTACGCACTGGGGCCCCGTGCCGTGCTTCCACCACACATACACTGACTCAGAGCACATGGTATATGTGTTGAGCAGGTCCACACACTGCCTCTTCGAGGTCCCACAGCAGGTGGGGAAACACAGGGCTGTTGGGAGCCATCACACTGAGTGGCTGGGGAGTCCTGGAGGCTGAGGTCAGGAAGGGTGGGGGCAGGCTCAGCGGACAACAGTACAGGTGGATGCTGAGGGTGGGTGGGAAGGTGGCGGTGGGCGCATGTCTAGAGAGGCAGCGCTGTGACCTGTGGCCTGAGATCTGCGGTGTCTCTTATTTGCCCCCTGTAGACATCAGAAATCCATGTCGCCGGGTGGTAAGAACCCCAAGTCTCTGCTGGGCCTCTCCAGGGTGCAGCCATGGGGGACCTCAGGGTAGCAGAGAGGCTGTCAAGCAGCCTGTCCCCCCGAGTGGTGACAGCACCACCCACCCCGTGTCAGTGTCATCACTCGGTGCCATGGCTATATTGGTGGTGGGCAGTGGTTTCCCTCTGTGACTTTATCTCGGATGCCGGTACATGGGCACACGCATCTCAGTTCTTTCCCCTTCCCACGCACCCTCCCTCCCTTCCACACTTGACCCCTTCCCTCGTGCAAGAGCTCTGTCTCCTTCCTCCTGTTGTCTGTCTTTTATTTTGCTTCCTAGTTTATATACGTTGAATTTTGAGCTGCATTTTCCTGATGATTCCTGCTTAGCCGTTTTGAAATCCTCTGGGACTTTTAGCCAGGACATTTGTCCATCCATCTATCCATCAGTCCTATATCAGGGACTTCCGGCTCTATGAGTGGCTACAAGTCCATCCCCAGCCTGTGCTCTGTCCCACTCCGCTGAGGTTAACCGTCCAGCTGTTCAGTCTGCTCCACAGTCTGGCCACCACCAGTGCACAATAGGTGACTTTCAGGGCATTCATGGCGTCGGCCCTCCCCACAGTCGATCACAGAGTGATCACCCAGAAACGCCGCACCCACCCCATACCCTGGGCACTACAACCCGACTCATGGGCCACAGTTGGTTCTTCCGTCGGTCTCCATGGTGGCTTCCTGCACCATTAGTGCTCTTAGATCATCCACGCTGCACTGTGAATCAGCACCTCCTTCGCTTTGGGCCACATGGCTGTCCTGGCGTGAGTGTCCCCAGTTTCCTGTCCAGGAAAGTGGCAATGTTAGAAGCCTTTGTGTGCTGGGTGTGGTGGCACACACCCATAATCCCAGCATTTGGGAGGCTGAGGCAGGAGGATCATCACTGGCTGGAGGCCAGCCTGGGGTATACAGTGAGCTCAAGTCCAGCCTCCACTAGATAGTAAGATCTTGTCTAACAAAAGCCTTTGTGTGACACCTGTCTTCCTGGGCCTGCTCGGAGGGGCACAGGTGCCGGTCACATGACAGCCCTGGACCCCTGGAGGAGGTACCGCACCTTTTTTCTGGACAGCATCACAAGTCCTGTCTCTTAAAAAATAAAATTAAAGAAATAAAATAAAATCACTGCACCTCAAACACCCCATGTCATGGTAGGAAGCTTCCAGTTTGTCTTCTGCTTGCAGCAACACTTGTCATCTATCCCATGACAGTGTCCTCTTGGGGTGACATGGTGTTGCACTCAGTTTTGATCTTGCATTTCCTTGGAGCTAACAGCGGGGGGCCCTTTCCCAGCTCTCTGCCATCTGGGCACCCACATAGGAGCAAAGTCCAGCCCGTTGCCTGTGCTGTGCCAGGCTCGCTTCCTGTCTCAACCACTCTGTGCCCTCAGAAACATGCTGTGGGGTGGCATGGGGCAGAACCCAGGGCCCTGCTGGGCTGACCTGTCCCTGCCCCAACAGTGTCCCCTGAGGCACGAATGCTCTGAAGTTTGATGACATCTAGTTTATTGGTGTTGCATCCCAGCAAGATTTTCCTGGCCCCTGTCGCAGAAACTCATCTTTCTCCTTGAGTTTTAGGGTTTCAGTGGCTGGTGCAGCTCAGTGGGGAGCTCTTGCCTGGCACAGGCTGGGCCCTGGGCTCCATGCAGCACCACAAACAAAGAGTAGTGTGTGGCCTCCTGAGCTCCTCCGCACGTGGGCTTCCGGGTGGTGCAGAGACCCCTCCTTGCTGTGGGGTGTTCCTGGCCCTGTCAGTGAGGGTGGACCTGCCTCATCCTCACCCCACCGATGGATGGCACAGCTGCAGCCCTGATCCTGAGCCATACATAAGTCCTGGCATCTGGGAGCCTGGGGCTTCCTGCTCTGTCCCTCCTTTCCATGCCATCTGAGCTGTCCTGGGTCCCCTGCATATTAGGGTCCACTTGTCATTTTCTGCAAGGAAGGACAGCTTGGGACCTTGATGGCAGCTGAGACCCCATGTGTCCCTCTGGGTGCCCTGACTTCCCAACCTGAAGCTTCATGCTGTCCATGTGGCCGACAGAACTCTGCACCCGAGGTCACTTTCAGAGTCTTGGGGATATGGAAGGCCACAGAGGGCATGTGTTGGGATGGCTCCTGGCCTGAGTGCCATACGTGTGGCATAGCCAGGTCCTGGTCAGTGGGACCCCAGGGTCCAGCATGGCATCAGTGGCATCCTGGCCACTCTTCCATTGTTGGCCCAGAGAATGGAGGTGGCACAGCCCAGAGAGCCGGCATGGGCTGGAAAGGTACCAGGGTCAGGTACTGTCCCCGGGAGGTCCCTGCCCTGCTGCCAGAAGCTGGGCAGTCCCGAGAGCTGAAGGCTGCTGGACCCCAGATGTCCCCCAGGGAAGGCGGGCTCACACTCAGAGACACACCTGAGGGTCTCACCCACCACAGTCCAGCAGCCTCTCTGTCTAGGTGCTGTTGTGGCCATGTGCTCTCCAGCATGCACAACAGAGCCATTAAAAATACAGCTGAAGATCACAGGATGAATTAGAAGTTTATAATCTTGTGCAGCCACACAGGACTCACAGGCCAGGGAGACACAGAAACGAAGACCCCTGAAGCACAGCCTGGGCCACCCGATGGATGGTCTGCACACCTCGGGCAGGTGTTTGTGTCACCAGCGTGAGCAGAAGGGACAGAGACGGAGCAATGTGGCCCTGTCAAACACAGGCACCTTTCCAGGGGACAGGGGCTCATGTGACACCTCGGCCCTACCCGGGGCCTGTGAGGTTGGGTCAGATTGCACAGACGGCTGGGGAAGTATTGGGCACTGTGGGGCAGCCCTGCCCATCTCAAGCCCTGCCCCTCTCACAAACATGCACACACACACACATGCATACACATGCACACCACACACACGCACGTGCACCGCCCACCCCACTCAGCTTCTTAGCTACTCCTGTCCCTCAGGCCCCAGCATGTGCTGTCCCTGTCTGGGCCTGAGTGTCTGTCACCTCTCTGGTGTCCCTCTGGCTGAGCCCCTCAGCTCCTCCACTTTGCTGCAGCTGCCACCCCCTGGCACAGCCTTGGCCCATGTCAAAACCCTCCCTCATGCCTCTCTCCCAGTCGTGAACCCTGGAGAGCAGAGCTGCGTCTCCTACACACACACACACACACACACACACACACACACACAGCTCCTCAAGGCTGGTGCTGAGCTGCTGGAGATTGAGAACTGAGTAGGCCACAGGGTGGATGCGTACTGAGAACAGGCGCAAGACCTATCCGATTGCGACCTCCTTGGTGTCATCTTGCTGACTCCTTGGCCCAGCTGATGGAGGGAGGATCAATGGCGGAAGGTAGCACAGCGATCACTACGGCTCCTTGCCTTCCTTCTCCCTCCCTCTCCCGCTCACCCCAGGGCCCGCCTCCCCTGGTAGGGTGACTCGCGGCTCACTCTTCTCCTCTGTTACACGAAGGCCATGTTCTCAGGCCTGGGGGCTGAGGCAGGAGGATGGCAAGTTCAAGCCCAGCCTGGGCAACTAAATAAGACCCTGTCACTAAATTTGAAAAGGGCTGTGGCTGTAGCTCAGGGTGAAGGCCTTGGGTTCAGTCCCTAGGACTGAAAAAAAAACAAAGTGAGTAAATTGAAAGGAAGAAGTTTGTGTGTCTTTAGGGAAGGAAATTTCCGGTTTCTCACTCTCCTGTCACCAACACACGGCTGGACCAAGGGGGCACTAGGTCCAGGTCAGGGTTAGGGTCAAGGTCAGGCTCAGGCTCAGGGTCTGGGCAGGTGTGTCCCAATAGGTGGGCACGTGGGACTGGGTCCCCACAGCCCACATGTGCCCTGTCTGAGGCTGGGGCAGCTGTGCCTGTGGGTCACTGGCTTCCGGGTTTCAGGATTTCCACTCTGCCGTCACGAAGGCCCTGGACGATGTGGAGGATGTGCGGGCCCAGGAGGAGCTTCGGCGGGGCCTGGACGAGCTGCCTGCCATCCACACGCTGCACCAGGGCATCCTGCAGGAGCTGGAGCAGCGGCTGGGTGACGGGTGTGTTCAAGCCCTGGAAGGGATGGAGGGGACTCACACAGGGGTGGCACGAAGCATGCAGGGAGGCCTGTCATCCACACGGGGAGCTGGCTGTGCGGTGGGGAGGGGACCGCAGGCCAGGTCCCCACTGTCACTCATGTCCTGGCCCTGTCCTGCATAGGGAGGGCCCATTTCGGGTGGCCAGCACCTTCCTGGCCCGAGAGCAGGAGTTTGAGCACCATGCAGCACTGGTCCTGCACTTTGACCGCAGCCTGGCTCTGCTCGCCCAGACCTGCGCCCGCTGTCCCCACCTGGCTGCCGCGGTCCATGACTTCGAGGTGGGTCCCTGAGGACAAGTGGGGATCTGGCCAGAGGGGCAGGCAGGTGGCCCTAGGACAGGGCCCTGAATCCCAGGAGGGTCGTGGGGCCTCTTTTCCTGCCCAGACAGGGAAATCATCCCTGAGGTTACTACGTGGTCCCAGTTCCCAGCCAGGAAAGGGGAGCATGTGGCTGTCCCCAGCATAAGGAGAGGGGACCAGGGGAGGCAGTTGCAGAGTCACAGCAGGGCGGGCAGGGCCTGGCTCAGGGGTTCAGGAGGGAATATGGGTGGGATGTCTGACCCCCAAATCCCTCTCAACAGCAGCGGGGTGGCCGGCAGGTGAAGCAGCAGCTGCTGGCAGTGGTGCGGCGCCCGCTCCAGTACCATGCTCTCCTCACAGGTGGGCATGGGGGCATGGGGGTACTCGAGGTGACCCTGATGTCCCAGGTCCTCCCCTCCCCAGCACTGTCCCTACCCTGCCCCTCAGGATGCCCACCCAATGTTGGACTCCAGACCTTCTCGACCACCGTCTCCACATGGAAAAAGAGCCTGCCCTGGGGGGTGGACAGAGGCCCACATGGGGTGCACATGCCATTTCCCAGGCTGTGACTCACACAGGAGGGCCAGGCACAGGGGACCTGTTCATGGTTCCATGCATACTTGTTGAGCACCTAGTGTGTGCCCCTCCCAGGCTGATGCTGGAGATAGACCTGTGCCCGAGCAAAGCCATACCCAGATGGCCACAGTGCCTCCAGTTAAGGAAACCCAGTTGGGTTGGGACAGGGCACAGGTGCCCACATTAGGCACCGAGGGCAGAGAAGCTCCCTGAGGAGAGCAGCGCTCAGTGGGATCTCAGGGCTGCAGGGGAACCCAGGAGAGGGTGCCAGGTAGAGGAGGAGCACCTGCCAAGGCCCTGGGACAGGGACATGTGAGGGCCAGAGTGGACAGAATGGGTGAGAGATGGGCAGCAGTTTGTCATCTCTGCCCCCTAGAGACCGTGAGGGTGGGCACCCAGCAGGGCCAGTGGACATGGCCTAGTGACTGAATGGCCAGCAGTAATGGCCTGGGGTTGTGGTCGGTGGATGTCAACAGGGGCCATGCTGACCCCTGGCTCCTTCCACCCCAGACTATCTGAACAACCTCTGTCCGGACTCAGCCGAATACAATGACACACAAGGTGAGTCCCTTGGGGACCAGGAGATGGGGACATGATTCTCTCGGCCCCTCCCACTCTTGGGCACTGCACAGTCCCCAAGCCCAGGACATGGCCCCTCCCCTAGCCAGGTGGGTCAAAGTCACCTCTGGGGAGCTCCGGGGTGGGCTGGTGTCCCCACGTGGTTCAGGGTAGAGTGGCACCAGGTCACCCAGCCTCTATGTCCCTGTGTGGCCTGCTAGGGGTCCCTCTGTGACATCATCAGTTTATAGCTGGGGAAACTGAGGCAGAGTGGTCAGATCACTGTGGGGTCTCTTAGGTGGCTGTGGCAAAGCTGGAGTTGAGGTCAGTGCCACACCCCTATGGGGCCCATAGGGACCTGCCAGCTGGGGGTGACACCGATGGGCCAATGACAGCTGTGCTCTGTCCCCCACAGGTGCGCTCACACTCATCTCCACAGTCACTGACCGTGCCCACGACGGCATGGAGCAGGGGGTGAGTTGGCCGTCTACCCTTTCCCGGGCCTGCCTCTGCTGTGTGACCTGCTGGGTGCCTCTCTGAGCTTCTGCCCCACCATCTGCACTTTGAGGGCTGTGGACTCCTCCAAGGCCCAAGGTGTCCCAGCACCCCTGGGGTCGGGGTTCTGGCTCCAGGCCCAGGAATCGCGTCTTTAGGAGATACCCGATTAACCTCACACCCGCTGATGCATGAGACCCACAGCTCCCTGGGATACATGTTCTGTGGCTCATTGAGCCTCATTGGTGCTCCCTGGCTCTGGAGGGTGGCCAACCTCACCCACATCCAGCTGCATTCTGAGGTCACCATGGCTACCTGTGTGTGCATGTCCACCACCCCACTGAGCTGTGATACAAAGGCTGCCATGGAGGATGAGGACAAGTCCTCACCTGGGCCGAGATCAGTGGTGGTGGTGGTCTTACTGCAGCAGGCATGGTGGGTAGCTGTGGTGCACACTGAGTGAAGAGAAGGGTGGCAGCACCAGGTCTTGGGCATCTCCTGTGTGCCAGGCCTTGGGCTGTGTTGGGGATGAGAAACAGAGGTGGTAAGACACATTCTAGCCTGGAAGTCACAGCTCATCTTGAACACTTTCCCATCCCTGGGAACTAAACACCTGACACCCTCACCTTAAAAGAGATGGATTTTGTTCACAGTTTCAGTGAGTTCAGTCCATGATTGGCCAGCTCCAAGGCAGGAACAGTATGGTGAAAGGGGCTGGCAGAGGAAAATTGATCACCTCATGGTGGCCAGGAAGCAAAGAGAGAAGCATCCAGGGACAAGAACACACCCTTTCAGGTCACGCCCTTGTGCCCACCTCAGATCAGACCCCACCTCCTAACAGCAGGGTCAGCCATTGTCTTATTAATTTTCTCTGTGCTGAGACAAAATACCCACAAGTTAATGGAGGAAAGGTTTATTTCAGCTCATGGTTCATAGAGGTTTCAGTCCATAGTCAGCTGGCTCTAGGGGACAGTGGCAGAGAGGCATTGTAGAGGAGAAACAGTCCATGGCAGGGCAGACAGGATACAGTGAAGCAGCAGCAGCAGCAGCACTGAGCCTGCCTTTCTCTTTTATCCCATCCAAGCTACAAACCTTTTAGATGGTGCTGCCCACACCCAGGGTGGGTGTTCTATCTTCAGTAAATCCATTCAGCCATACCTAGAACTATACTAATTCCAATCAGTAGACTAAATTTAGTACCACACACCCTTAACCCCAATATTACACACCCTAGATTAAGCCAGCTCCAAAAGGCCCCACCTATTAGTGCACAAGTCTTTGGAGAGATGTCTAGATACAAGCCATAGCAGTTGTGGATTCATCCATAGACAAATTCACTGATGAGCACAGCACCCCATGGTCCAGTCTCCTTCCATGCATGTCAGACTTCTGGGGAACACTGAGACCTAAACCACAAGAGCTCCCTGTGCAGTGGCAGTAGATACCATAGGTGGGGGAAATAACCACAGCCAATGTCATAAGAGGGTGAGTTTGAGAAAGGGGAATCCCTCAGAGCTGGGACAGAAAGGCCAGTGTCCCTACCATCAAGGGAGGTCTGAGACCTCCAGGGGGTTCTGATGTGTTGACCCCAGTCTGGGCAGCGGAAGGAAATGGGAAACCACAGGGCCACCCAGAATGAGGTGGGACAGAGCTGGGGACAAAGGGGGAGGTGGTATGGTCGGAGACAGGGACAATACACAGAGTTCACAGGGTGAGTCAAAACCGTTGTTGTCATCTGGTCTTCTCCCTGCCCCTGACGTTAGTTGGCTCCCTGCTCTGTTGCTCTGACAGCCTGTACCCACCTCAAGATTCTTCCTTCAAAGTGGCCCCTAATAGGAGCTTCTGAACTGTGCCCTGCAGTAACATTCTCCCTCCAACAGGGCTGCTCCTGCTGCTCCAAAGAGGCCTTGGGCCAAGAAAGGGTGTTTATGTTGAGATTGTGTGAGTGTTTGTGTTTCTGTGCCTGGCTTCATGTTCCACCATGTTGTCACCAGAGACAGAATTCCGTTCTTTTTTATGGCTGAGTAGTACTCCAGTGTATATGTGTATATGCCATGTTTTCTTCTTACATTTATCAGTTGATGGACACTCATGTTATTTTCATCTCTTGGCTACTGTGCACAGGACCATAATGAACATGTCTCTCTCACACACTGATTTCCTGTGCTTTGGATGTGCACCCAGTAGTAGGATTGCTGCATCCTGTGGAAGTTGTATTCTCAGTGTTTTGAGGACCCTGGTGCTGATTTCTGTGTGCAAGGGTACCCCCTCTGTACCAACACCCCAATCTCCAGTCTTTCTAACAGTGGCCCCTCACCGGGGTAAGGTAGTGTCCCGTGTGTCTGATCTGCAGATGTGGAGGTGTTTGTGTGAACCTGGTGCACACCCACTTTTGAGAAATGTCTCTTCAGCTCCTCTGCCCACTTTTTAAGTGAGTTTTTTGTTCTTTGCTTTTTATCTGTGACCTCGGGCCTCTCTCACCCCCAGGCCAGAGGTCATATGCACAGCCCACAGGGTCCAACTGCCATATCAACACTCCTATATGTCCATGCCGCCTGCTCTCCACTCACGCAACACGCATGCATCCTCAGCCCTGTACCCTGGTTCTGTGCCCACGTCTGAGGAGTCCTTGCTGTGTGGATGTGGGGGTCTGCAGTCAGCCACGGTGATCACTGTGCAAATCCTTGACAGGTCCTCCAGGGATCTGAGCAGCTGGACCATCTGTTCCACTAGAGGACACTGTGGGCAGAACGACACTGAAGGCCACTGTCCCACAGATTCCCTGGGCTTTTCTTGGTGTCCTGCCCCAGGACTCTTGCAGGATTCCACTGGAGACACCACGTTACCCTTGGTCCACATATGTCCTTAGGCTCCCAGAGGCCCCTGACTGTGGTGCCGTGGCATTGCAGGCTGGGGCCCTTGCCCTGCAGCTGGCTGCTGCTGGGGTCCGTCCAGTGTTTTCCTTGTGGTTGGACTGGGCTGTGCAGGTTTGGCAGGGAGAGCAGGGCAGACGTGACCTCATGAGGCCCGTGCAGGCTCGTCCTGGTGACACGCCTGCGCTGTCGGTGTCAGCCGGCTCCTGGCCCAGGTGCTGTGCATCCAGTCTCTGCTGTGTAAGGTCTCACTACGTGGTGGCCACTGTTGCTCCCTTTGGAAAAAGTCTCAGCACACAATGTCATTCTTGGTGCAGCCCGTGCACCTCCTTTCCTGCCATCTGAGCGCCCCCTGGTGATCACTGTGAAGCTCTGCATGGGGTATGTCTGCCCTCCTGGATTACAGCGCCCAAGGGCTCAGAATCAGGCAGTCCCTTGGGTCAGCGTGGATTCAAGGAGAGTTATTTATACTTGGTATGAAATCCCACGCTGCACCATTTATCTTACTTCCCAGCTGGATCTGGGTCCTGGCCCTCGGGTGTGCTGTCCGATGGCTTCTGTTCCTCTCACATCCTATCTACACCAATTGGATGGGATGTTTTGAGCACTTCCTGACTTCTGCCTCATTCACCGGGTGCATTTCCTCTTCCTGGCTGAGAACCAGCCATGGGTCCCAGGGTTCCTGGTTCCTCCACAGGAACAGTGGTGTTCGAAACAGAGATTAGGGTCTTGGTATGTCCCTATTTGTGGGAATCCTTTCTTTTTGGCTCTCTCAGTTGACAGCACAAAGAAACACGTGTGTTTTCTAACACATTTGTTATGGCCCATATCTCATGTGCCCCCAGCATCTCCTGTACTCAGAGGTGGGGCTTGTGGCAGGTGATTAGACTACAGGCACCACAGCTGTCTTGGTGTTAGGAAGCCAGGCCTGGTAGGAAGAGGTGGGCACTGGGGCATGGTTTGGAAGGGTGCTTCTCCTTCCCCAGCTCCTCCCTTCCCTCTCTGCTTCCTGTCTGCCATGCCATTAGCCATTCTCCTCTACCAGGCCCTTCCACCATCCACACCTTCCTGCCTAGAGCTGGCTGACCATGTAGGGCCTGAGATTTCTGAAACCATGAGCCAAAATAATCCTCTCCTTTAAAGTGTGGGTGTCAGGTACTGCATCTCAGCGCTGAAGTGACACTGTATGTGCACCTCACATATCTGTAGACATGATACATAGCCCACTGTGTACATGTTAAGCTAACGAGGTGATTGTACCTGTGTTTCTGACTGGACTTAGTACCCCTCAGGCGATTCCAGCCCCCTCCCCTGCCAATCAGCAGCCCCCACCTGGCAACTACAAGCCTGCCTCCCACCACCTCTCCCCTTTACCTAATTGTCCTTTGATCTCCATTTTTGAAGGCTATTTTTCTTGGGTATAAAAACCTAGGCTGGCTCATTTTTCTCTTGCACTTCGAAGATGCCAGCCCCTGTCTCTGCCTTACCTGATGTCTAATACCAAGTCTGTCATCTGCTTGTCTTCATCCTTCCTTCCATTGTGTGTTCCTCTTTCCTGCTGCTTTCAAGACCATAGTTTTATTGCACTTTTGGGAGCTCACCGGGTGTGTGAGCATTGTGCAGGGAGGGCAGTGTCAAGCCTGCTGTAACCCTCAGGCTTGTTTGCTGGGCTGTGGTCTGTCATTCATTAACTTCAGAAAGTTCTCATCCACACTCCATCCTTCTTTCCTCAAACTCTTATTGCCCCCAGTATGTGGTTGGGACAAACTCTGCCAAACTGTCTTCAAGGTCTTTGATTCTTTCTTCAGATGTGTTCCATTGCTGCTAAGCCTGTCAGAGGAGTTCTTTCTTCTGCTACTGCAGGGTTATTTAATGTTAACTTTTCCTTTGACGTCTGTCATGGTTTCCATCACTGAGATTCACAGCCTTTCCTGACTGGTCTGTCCCCTACCAGATCCCTCACGTTTTAATTGCTGTCACCATAAAGTCCTTGCCTGACGGTTCCTACAGTGGTCCCCTCATGTTCTGAATTTGTTGAGTCCTTTATCCCTTGAGAATGACTTAGGTTTCTTTTTCTCTCTTGTGTCTCTGTGTCCCTCTAAATTTTGATTGAATGCCAGGTGTCTGCATAGAAGCTAGGTGGAAACGGAGGGGAACAGTTGTGCCTGTTTCTGGCTGGCTGCTTTGGCAGGTGGAGTCAGTCTGGACCAGGGTTGAGCCTGGTCCCTGTCCAGACCTTCAGAGTCCCTGTCCTGCCCACTGCACCCTTAGCCTCTGGCCCTGTCACCTGTAGTCACCTGTGCTGTCTGCAGAGCCTGCCGTGCTGGGACTCCTCACAGCCCTGGCCCCAGGAAGTCTCTTCGTGCATTGCTGCCCCTTCTCCTGTGGCCTCTGCTTGTAACCCGCTGCCCCCAGGGCCACACTCTGCACTGGCCTGTGGCCAGCCATGGACTGGCCTCTGCACATCCCCACTGTAGCTGTCCTCCATGGCACTGGTGACAGTGACAGGCTGGGCCCAGAGCTCCCCTCCCCAGTGCTGGCTTCTGCCCTTTCTCAGAAACAGAGGTGTCACCCGAGCTCTGGGGTGGGATGGTGGGGTAGAGCCATGGGCGGCTCTTCCTGGCACCGGCCCCACCCCACCTTCCCCGTGAGCTGAAGGTCCTGTCTGTTGCCAGCACCCACATCGATCACCTCCTGACCCTTACGGCCTTGTGAACCTTTCCACGCTCTCTTCTTAGCCCTCATCACCGCCCCTTCCTCCTGGCATCACCAAAGCTGCGATGCTCAGCTGTCTCCCGTTTCCACGCAGGGGCCTTGTCGGTCCTGGAATGCAGCCAGCTGGCCACCCGTGGGCATGGGGAAGTTGGGGTGTGCAGAGCACGAGGCATTTCTACTGTTGGGTGGCAGCCACATCCAGGACTCTGTTTTGTGGCAATGGTGTGGCTGCTGGACATTTTTCTGTGCATTTTCTCCCTGAAACCGGTGGCGAGGATGTCAAGGCGGTGTCCCCACAGTCTCATCCTTCGTCGGAGCCTTTGGGAGGTGTGCAAGGTGTGACCTCTTCCGGACAGTGCTGTCTGGAAGGGCAGCGTGTCCCTTGACCTGTCTGTGTGACGCAGGGGGGGCCACCAGGGTCGGTTCTTGTTCTAGACAGGCAGCCCACATTTCCAGCCCTGAGGCCAGAGGAGGGTGGCCTCTCCTCCCTTGACATTGTTCCTGGGTTACCACTCCTTGGCCTCATCCTGGGCTGCTCCTCATAGGCTGCTGCTCCTCGTGGGCCTGACCGCCTCCCTCCCCTCCCCACCCGCCCACAGGAGAACCTGCAGAAGCTGGTCCACATCGAGCACAGCATCCATGGCCAGGGCGACCTCCTGCAGCCAGGCAGGGTGAGTGGGGCCGGGGGCTGTGGGGAGGCAGTGTTCCCAGCCACGTGGGCAGGTGTTGTGTCCCTGGGAGGGGGCAGAGGGCACAGAGACAGTTCCTGTAGGTTCTCCATCCCCCAAGAAGAGGAGGCTTCAAGTATTTTTAGTCCAGAGTTGCTGGGAGGCAGAAAACCATTTCTAGAGCCCAAACCCAGAAAGCGTCTTAAAAATCACTTTCGTTATGCACAGCCCAGAGCTGGGCGATGCTGGGCTCACGAGAAGCCCTGGGCTCCACCCCACACTGCAGAGAGAGGACAGAGAGAGAGAGAGACAGAAACAGAGACAGAGACACAGAGAGACATTCACTTACATTTTTGTCTTCCAATGGAAAACATACAATTCAGCTCAAAAACGGTCAGCAGTGTGATCTCTGTGGTTGGAACAAAGAGGGTGCCATGCAGTTTTTACTAATCGGCAGCGATCAGGCAGCCTTCGAGTAGTACTTGTCCTTGATGTCCCGGCCCTGACCACAGTTGGGAAACTGTTAACCACCGCTCAGTGTCCTCCAGGATGCAAGCCAAGGCCACTGTCCACACCTGCAGCTCCATTCCCAGGGAGCCTGGGAAGGACCCAGGATGGGGCCCCCTGGAGGCAGCAAGAGGACACCTAGTCCCCTGGGCTGGGGGCATCATGTCTCCCTGTCCCTCCTGGACCCCCTTCCCATCTCTGGGGCAGCAGGGACATCGGCTGGTCACAAGGTCAGCCTCTCTGTCTGCAGGAGTTCCTAAAGGAGGGGACGCTGATGAAGGTGCGTGGGAAGGACAGGCACCCCCGGCATCTGTTCCTGGTGAGTTTGCCCACATAGTCAAGGCCTGTGAGGAGGGCACAGGGTGGGACAGAGGGACAGAGCTGAGTCTCCAGTTTCGGCTTCCTGCACAGGTGAGTTTCCCGGAGGGCTGGGCTTGCAGCCACAGCCATTCCAGGGTTGTCACCAAGTTGTAACCAGGTTGTCCTCTGCATGGTGTTGAATGCAGTGGTGCTGAGGTTTACTTGCCGAGGTCCCTGCCTTCATACCTCAGGCATGGGCGTCACTGCTCCTGTGATGCAACAGAGGGCCAGGCCCAGGAGGGACAGTCAGTTACCCACCAGCCTCCTCTTCGGTGTAGATATGTTGGGGATGCCCATGCCTGTGGGGAGCCATGTCCACACTGGTGGCTGGTGACTGCTCTTTACCACAGCCCAGGACCCCGAGCCACCACGCCTCCCATCACCATAACTGACACTGACATGCAAAGCTCAGATCGCTTCTCTCTTCATGGCCCCAGCTATGGCCAGGTGTCCTGTGGCATTGGGCCTGTGCTGGCGCACAAGGGAGAAAGCGAGGGGCGGGGGGAGTCACTGGCCCTCTGAGGACTTGAACCCAGTGATCCAAGACCTCCCGCAGCCCCTTCTGCTAAAGAGGCCACCATCACCCAACAGCATCCTGGGCTGGGACCAGGTGTGGGACACATGGGCTGCCTGCCTCTGGGCACCTGTCTCTCTGCAGAGATGCAGGACTGGCAGAGTGGGGAGGGTGCTCCAAGGGGCCCCACACAGTAATAGGGTGCTGAGAGGTAAGCGGCAGGATACCCCTAGGAGCCGTGCATTTCTGATTTCTGGCATCTGCCACTGAGGAAGGGTCTCAGCAGGGACCGAGTGTGTGGAGCACAGAGGTCAGGACATGGTGTGTTTGGGGGACCTTCTCAATCTTAATGGGTCTTCAGGTCAGGTGCTCCAGGTCCCCATGCCACCCACACACACACACCAAGAGGCAGTGAGCAGGGGACAGGTCTTCAAGCCTGTGGGGCTGGGGTGTGGCTCAGGGGTGGGCACCTGCCCTTTGTGCCCAAGGCTCTGTGTTCCAGCCCCAGCACCACAGAAAAAGAAAGGGGAAAAAGCCACACATACGACAGAATTTGTCTTTCTCAAAGGTGCCAGTTTTGCTGGCTGTTGTGGCACACACCTGTAATTCCAGCTACTCTAAGAGGCTGAGGCAGGAGGATCACAAGCTCCAGCCCAGCCTGGGCAACTTAGCGACTTAGTGAGACCTGTTTCAAAATTAAAGAAGAAAAAGGGGTGGGGTATATAGCTCAGCACTTCCTGGCTTCATCCCCAGGATCAGAAAAAAGAAAAAAAAACCCAGTTTCCTAAACCAATCAGAACTGCAGCTCAGAGTTGGGGCACTGCCTGAGGACACGCAGGGCTTCGGGGACACTACAGCAGACGGCCCTCGCCCATTCCACAGGGTTCTCCTCCGCCCCGCCCACCCCCACATGGTACAGGCTGCTGGTAAAGATGGGTGCTGGGCACTGGGGGAGCTGGCAGAGACCTCAGGCTCCACGCATGCGCCATGCCTGCAGTGGAGGACAGGCACACCTGGGGTCTGCTAGGATCAGGTGCGGAGGCAGGTGCTCTGTTCAGGCTCAGGACACTGGGTAGGAGGATCGCACTGTCACCTGGCCCTGTGTGTGTGAGAACCTTCTAGCCGATGGAAGCCACTTCCTCCCACAGAGCTCTGTGGCCTTTGTTTCATCCCTCACCTGTGTGCACAGCAGTGGCCTTTAGTCTGCACCAACTGTGCATGCTGGGGAGGGAGCTCTGAGGACAGCTCAGGGCTCACCCCATCCCCAGGGATCCCCGGCAGTGAGAGCTCCTTCCACCCCAGCAACACTCATGTCCATCCTCACAGCATGTGTCACCGCCCCTGCCCCAGGTCACCATGTAAAACACCTGCAGCCTGAGACCCCTATGCCTGGCAGTCAGGTCCCTGCCCTGGCACCTGCCCTGTTCTGTGCATATGGACTAGTCCTATTGCTCAGAGAGACGTTGAGGTCACCCCACTGTCCTATGTCTCAGCAGCCTGTTCTGATTTTGGTTTTGGGGTTTTGTTGGACACAGGGCCTGGGATGCACGGCCCGTGCTGAGCCTGGCCCTCCCTGTCTGACGGTCCCGTCTGTAGATGAGTGACGTGCTGCTGTACACCCACCCTGAGAAGGACGGGAAGTACCGGCTCAAGAGCTCCCTGCCTGTGGCTGGTATGAAGGTGAGTCCGGCAGGAGACCCAGAGGTGGCACAGTGCCTGAGGTTGCCGCTCCTTGGAGCCTGGGCCCTGGAGCGGTGACATGGGGTGGAAATGAGGTGAGCAGGGGCTGGAGACAAGACCACACCGCATTGCCGTCCTCTCCACTGCATTCAAGCGCCATGTCGTGCGTCCTCCTCCAGGACTCTTTGCCTGTCCCTTCCCTGCCCAGCCCCTACAGTCCTTCCTGCTGCTGTGTGCAGCCCCTGTCCCCTGTCCTCCCCACAGCTGTGTATCCTTGGCCCACCCTGGGGCCAAGGCATCCTCCTCCCAGGCAGCCTGTGATGCTGTCTCTCCATCCCCTGTCAGTGGGTGTGTGGGCCACCCTTTGCCTGGTGGTTGTGACAGTGCTGCCATGGCCTTGAGCACACACAGGTGGCTCCACCCAGTGAGACTCGGGCCTGAGGAGACACTGAGGGCTGCAAGGGATTCTTGGGGAGCAAAAGGTGTGGGGACATTCATCTGGGTCTCACCTAAGAGGGGATGCCAAGGCTGACCACAGGGCTGAAGGTAGCTGTGATCCTGAGGGCAGTGAGGTGGTGAGGAGGCCGGGGCCCCTGCATGGTGCCACTCACCCCAGGAAACTGAGCAGGGAGGGGGGCTGCTGGAGATGGGGCCCAGCAGCCAGGTCCGGACCCCACGTCGCACAGGAGTGATGCTCCTGACCTCCTGAGGATGACCGAGAAGACAGCATTGTGTCCCTACTGAGGAAACTGAGGCTGCCAAGCATCTGTGTCAGGCCTGGCTCTCTGCGCCCTGCAACCAGCAGGGGCCCACGGTGCCCACTCCTTGCCTCCCCTGAGGTGCTTGGGGCGGCTCTTGCAGGTCAGCCGGCCGGTGATGGAGAACATACCGTACGCCCTGCGCATTGAGACTGCCCAGTGCTGCCTGATGCTGTCGGCCAGGTACAGGACAGAATGGGGACAGGGACAGGGGACAAGGAGGTGGGCACATGTGGCTGTCAGGCGTGGACAGGGCATCACTTCCCTTCTGGCACCCAACAGATGAGAGGAATTGCTCCTTTCAGTGTCTCTTAACCATTTTGTTGTAAAAACACCTGGCTTCTCTCCTGGAGAAATGTGTGCATGGGAAACGCATGTGACAGGCGACAAGGACTGCACCTTGGGTCTGCAAGACTCCACGGACAGCAGAGCCAACACAGGTGGCCTGTCCACCCCAACACTGCGTCCTGAGGGCGGGGGAAAGATGAGCACTGGCTTTTGCCCTTCCCCTTTCCCATGGGCCATCCCAGGCCACCCACAGAGGAGAGGCTGTGGTTCCAGCATCAAGGTGGCCGCAGACCTGGGGCGAGCGTGGCCTTGCTTATGGAGGCGACTGCACATCTTGTGGCAAGGGGGCTCTCGGGTCTCAGCCTGGCTCAGCACCCCCACTGCCTAATCGCACCCCACGCCTGGGGAAGCCACCACCTGGGAGCTGGGCACTCAATATGGGGTTAAATGCAGGTCCCACAGGGCATGCGGCACTCACTCGGTCACCACTCACTCGATCCACACAAGGGCCAGGGGCAGCTCAGTGGATGGCGCTGGCCTGGCCAGTACAAGGTGCAGGGTCCCATGACCAACACAGGAAGGGAAGAGGGAGAGGAAGGAAGGGAAGGGAAGGAAGGAGGGAGGAAGAAAGGAGAGGAGGAACAAAGGAAGGAGAGGAAAGGAAGGAGGGAAGAAGGAAGGGAGGGAGAGGAAAGGCCTGCATTCTTTCTGGGGACTCCATCCTGTGGCCAGTGTTAGGCAGCAGACCCCAGGAGCATCCCCTCCCCAGTGAGGGTGAGGGGCTCCATCAAGCCCAGGGTAGGAGCTGCAGTCTTGGGTGGGCACACTGGGGGCTCCTGCAGCTGGGTGTCCCCTCCACACAGGGCCTGGGGGTGGCTGTGGAGCCCTCATGTTGGGTGTGAGGTGTGCGGCATGCACACCAGTGCACACCTGTGGAGTAGGGAGTCACACACTGGTCCCTATGCAGGCCTTGGGTGGACACCTGCTGGCCTCAGTGCTCTGCGCTCTCTGGAGCGAGCCCTGTGGTCTTCAGCCGGGCTGTGGGCCCTGGGAGTGCCGGTCCCTCCAGGGAGGGAGGACTTCACCCTGGGGCTCTACGCCCCTCCCCTCCCTTCCCTTTCCCCCAGGTCAGGCACCCGGCAGGGCTGTGTGCTTGGGCCCTCGGGCTCATGTCCCCAAGCAGCGGGACACACAGCTTCCTGCTCCCTGTCCATCCCCCAACCACTTCCAGGGCCATCGTGCTGGTATGCGGGACACATGCACCACCTGGTGGGCGCTGTGAGGCTCTACTCACTGCTGCTGCCTGTGTCCCCGGCAGCCCACAGCCTGGGTGGACGTCACACCCCAGAGAGCACCTGAGGGGTGTCTGTGGCGCTGTGTGGGGCAGGGTGCCCCTGCCTCCCTCTGTCCCCAGTGGTCCATCCCTGTAGTGTGGCCCCCATGACCCAGGCCTTTGTTTTGCCTGGTTCTGCCACTGGCAGAGGGGCCTTGTCCCCTGGCCCTCTCACAGCCCATTGTCTGGGGACAAAGTGATGTGCATGGCAGGTGGGAGGATCCCTGACTGTCCTGCCTGCCTGCCCCCGCAGCTCCTGCACCGAGAGGGATGAGTGGCACAGCTGCCTGAGCAGGGCTGTCCCCGAGGACCATGAGGCCCAGGCTCTGGCCGCCTTCCACCATAGTGCCGAGGTGAGCCACAGCCACGAGATGGGTCCCCTGGGGTTGGGGGCAAGTGGGGACCACACTGACCTCCACCCCCTCCCCAGCTCCGGGAGAGGCTGGGGGTCAGCCTGGGCGAGCGGCCGCCCACACTGGTGCCAGTCACGCATGCCATGATGTGCATGAACTGCGGCTGCGATTTCTCCCTCACACTGCGACGCCACCACTGCCACGCCTGCGGCAAGGTGAGCCAGCGACACTGTGGGGACCCTGGGGGGCCCATGCCCACCTCCACCACATGAGGAGAGGACGTTGGCAGTGGCACCCGTGGTGGGGAGGGTGCTGCATCACGGCTCAGGGTGCAGCATGGGCGGGGGGGGGACTGAAACACCTGCTGGGAAGTGCAGTGCAGCCTGGGGCACAGAGGCAGGGGCCATGAGGGTGGACACTGGCCCCCTCTCACATCTGGGGGTATGACGGTCACCACACACGTGTCCCCTGGTGCTGGCCTGCAGATCGTGTGCCGGAACTGCTCGAGGAACAAGTACCCTCTGAAGTACCTCAAGGACCGCATGGCCAAGGTGTGCGACGGGTGCTTCGGGGAGCTGAGGAAGAGGGGCGGGGCCGCGCCGGGCCCCCTGCGAGGTAACCATCGGGCTCAGGAGCATCGGGTGGGGGCAGCTCTGCCGGAGCCACCACATCCCCAGGAGCTGCTCGTGCAGGGAGTGAGGGGGCTCTGTGAAGGGACAGAACTCGGAGCATGAGGCCCCTTTCAGGGGAGCTCTGTGGCCCATGACCAGAGGGACTGTGGGGCCCTCAGGAGCCCATGGTGGAGCTGGGAACTGGAGGGAAGGGTCTGAGATGGGGCCCTGGAAGCAGAGCTGGCCCACAAGGGGTGCGGTGCTCACGGGCTGGGTTGGAAGGAGGGCAGGTGCATTCCTCCCTGGGGACTCTGACATCACTGGGGCTCAGCCATCCCGGCCCGTGTCCTGGGAAATGTCCCTGCCTCCCACCGTGCCCCCCACCTGGTCACCGCTGTCCTCTCCCTGCAGAGCGGCCCGTGACCATGAGCTTCCCACTGTCCTCGCCCCTCTTCTCCTCGGGCAGTGCCCTCTCCTCCGTCTTCCACAGCATCAACCCCTCCAACTTTAAGAAGCAGAAGAAGGTCCCGTCGGCCCTGGCAGAGGTGAGGGGGCAACACAGACTCCTGGGGATGGGGTTAGGCCTCCCAGCCCAGCCTGGCCACTCTCCCTCCCTACGAGGATCAAGGTGTACCTCAGGGACAGCACCTGCTCCCTTGGGACGTGCTTGTCCCTGGGTGCAGCTGACAGATGCCTTAGTGACTGAAGGGTGACCCAAGGCAGGGCAGGAGGTGCAGGAGGCACCTCCTCCTCTCCTCTTCCTCCTGCCCTGGAGCCAAGACCGAGTGCTGCAGGGACGCCCAGGCCACTGGGGCTCTGGGTCACTCAGTACCCTTTTGCTTCATCTCACTGGGGCCCCATGGGGTTCAGGGTGGTCTCAGGCGGCCTGCGGCTGTGTGTGGGACACCTCGGCCACCCTGCAGACCTGGCTAGGTTCTGTCTCCTGTAAGTCATTCACATGAAGACTCGTTGGCCCAGAACCCACAGTTAGCAGCTCCATGTTCCCATGAATACAATCCAGAGCAGACGGCAAGGCGTGTGGACAAATGTCAGGGAAAGAAGGATTAACATGGGGGAGGGGCTGTCCAGTAGCGTAACTCACGAAGATTAAATATCTTAGAAAGATCTGCGGCTGCATGGCAAGAGCTCACCTAGCATTCAAGAGGCCTGGGTTCATCCCCAGCACTAGGAAAGAAAATTTCAGAAATAACACATACATGGTGTAGGAAAAAAAAATTTTTAAAGCACCAAAGAGTATATGATGGAAAGTGAAATGTGTGCCTCTCCGGCTTCCCTCAAGATCCTTCAAGAAATTTTCTTGCTACTGGGTATGGTGGTTCATGCCTAGTTCCAGCACTTGGGAGGCTGAGGCAGGAGGATCACCAAAAATTTGAGGTAGCCTGGGCTACACAGTGAGTTCAAGGCCAGCCAAGACTACACAGCAAGACCCTGTCTCAAAAAATCCAAACAACCAGCAGTGAGCAGACCCCTGTGAGATGTGGAGGGGGTGAATGAACACATCAGCATCTTTGGGTGCAGTTCCGTGACTTGGGAGTGGGTGTGCAGGACCCTGAATATGACCCACTCCCTGTGGTGCCCCGCAGTCCTGGGCTCCTGGGTCCCCGAGTCCCATCCCCAAGCCCCAATGGGGACGTGCAATGGGGACAAGCCCTGACCTTGGGTTTCCTTTGCAGGTGGCCGCCTCAGGCGAGGGCCTGGCCATCAGCGGCTACCTCAGCCGGTGCAAGCGGGGCAAGCGGCCCTGGAAGAGGCTGTGGTTCGCCATCAAAGGCAAAGTGCTGTACACCTACACGGCCAGAGAGGTATGGGCTGTGCCTCCCCTCCCCACGAGGCCCCGGCCCCTCGGGTCCCACACACCATCTCCAAAGGGGCAAATGAGTCCCCAGTGCTGTCGTTTAGGCTGGCCTCGAACGCGTGGCAATCCTCCTGCCTCTGCCTCCCCTGTGCTAGGATGACAGGTGTGCGCCACGGTGCAGGGTGTGGTTTGTCCATTTCTTTCTCTAGGGTGACTGACCACACCAGTAACTCTCAGGAGAAGTGAAGTTTGTGTCTTTATAACACAACTTCCTTTCACTTCTAAAACGCAGCTGGGAGCCCTCAGACCCACCGCTCTGGAGGAGCTAAAGTGGGGCCATGGTGGTGGTGGGGCTGGAGAGTGGCCCAGGCTCCCTGGGTGTTCTGGCCCCTCAGCAGTGGCCTCTGTGGGTGGAGTCCATCCTGAAATGGGACCCAAGTCACCTGGTCCTCTGCAGGGGGCTTGTCTCGGAGCACACTCTGCCCCTCAGGGTCACGGGACCCAGAGAGGCAGCTGGCAGAGGCCTCTGTGGAATTCAGGAGCCTCAAGCGCTTCTGCACTGAACTGGGGCTTTCTTCCCAGGTCCTCATCTACTCGGAAGAGTGAGAACACCCTAGTGTGTCTTGGGAGCTCCATCCTGAGCGGCAGCCACGTGGTGGGGGGTGCCTTCCATGTGCCTCAGTCTTCCCTGCCTGGGCCCTTGAGCCCCCACACTGACCTGGCCGCAGCCTCCCCTCCCCCAGCCCCATCTGAGCTGTTTGGCCAGACACAGCAAGCAGGGAAGCAAGGGGGGATGCCCTCAGAGCAGCAGGGGTCACAGCGGTGACCACACAGGCTGGCTTTTAAAGTCGGATTTCACTGGGCACAGTGGTGCACGCCTGTCATCCCAGCACTCTGGGAGACTGAGGTGGAGGATCACAAGTTTGATTCCAGCCTGGAAAAGAGCAACCTACCAAGACCCTGTCTCAAAATAAAAAGTAAAAAGGACTGGGGGTGTGGCTCAGTGTCCAGGCCCAGGGTTCGACCCCCAGTATCTTCTGCCTTTGTGTCTATCCTTGACCTCCACTTGGGGCTGCATGGTGAGTCTCTATGTTGGGTTCATATGTCCTTCGACTTCATTCTAAAGATTATTCCAGGCCCTCTAAGTCTTCGGTTTTCATTACAGCCCTGTTGGTTTCTACTCCTCCAAAGCTCTCTTTGATTATGACTGAGGTTGTTGATCACCTGGAGATCAACTTGGAGCAAGCTGTTGTCCTGCCAGTGTCAAATCTCCACCATGGACCTGGGGTCACCTTCAGTTCTTTCATTTCTCTTGTGATATTTTGCATCTTCTCGTCCAAAGACCTCAACACTTCTGTTCTTAGCTTCTGCTGACTTTATTCCTAAGTTTTTTATTCTGAACACTATGTGAGTGGAGTTGGTTTTATTTTCTAGCTGTCTGCCACTAGTGTATAGGAAGGTGATCGTCCCGTGACCTTGCTAACATTCATTAGTTGGAGTGTTGTTTTGTAGTCAAACATGTTCTTCACAAGCACAGGCTGCTTTACTGCTTCTTTCTGGTCTTTTGTGTTTCTTTCTCTGGCCTCCCTGCAGTGGCTTAGGCCTCCGGCACTGTGGTCTGTGCATCCTGATGTTCCCATCTTAGGGGCAGTTCAGCAGCTCGCTCTTCAGTGTGACATTGACCGTGGGCATTTATCTTTCTACCCTGAGCCAGATTAAGGAAGTTCCCTCGGACTCCAAGTCGGCTGAGACTCATCATCATGACTGAATGTTGAATTTCATCAAATGCTTTTTTGTTTTTTCTTTTTTTTTTTTGGTACCGGGAATCAAACTCGGGTCCTTGCGCTTGCACAGCAGGCAGCAAAACCACGGAGCTAAATCCCTGGCCCAAATGCTTTTTTCTGATCTTTCCATCTTTGAAAATTGTTTCAGAATTTTAACACTCATCCTGCTCCCCTTTGTTCTCATCCCACAGCTGTCCTGGCGTGCTCATTACTTCTCTTTACCCTGTGTTTTTATAAGCTACATGAACACGTGTTCTCCATTTCCATGCATGCACATGAGATAACATATCTTCACGGATGAGAATCTTTCTTTTCCCACCGAGTGCTGTTTCAAGCTCTGTATGCATTCTTGGGTGCATCTCATCAGTACAGCTGCTCACAGAGCAGGAGCTGGGGCTGCCCACGGAAGGCTTTACATCAGGCCTGAGGAGTAAGTGTGGTCTCAGAAGAAACTAGGGAAACTGAGTCACTGGAGAACAGACTCAGCGGAAAAAATGTTAGAAGTTGCCCCAAAGCCCCAGATCTGGCTCCTGCTTTCTAGCTGTGTCATCTTGGGGCATTGCCTTTTCTGAAGGAGACAGCACCTTCTAGGATTGTTGTGCAGATTGAACAAAATAAGGAAGATGCAAATGCCTGACCTCAAAATGTCAGGTTTCAAGCCAGGCCTGGTAGTGCACGCCTGTAACCCGTGAGAGGCTGGGGCAGGAGGATCCCAAGTTTAAGTCCACCCCAGGGAACAGCAACTTAGTGAGACTTTGTCTCAAAAAATAAAAAAGAGCTCGGTGTGCAGCTCAGTTCGAAGGCCCTGGGTTCATTCTTCAGTATTGGTGGGGGGAGGGGGCGGAGTTTTGCTCCTTCCAAGGGCTGACCCTGGCAGGAGCTGGGTGACAAAAACACAGCCAGCGCTGTCCCTGTGAGTGGGCCATGCTTGATGCTTGTGTCCCTCTGCCCTGCAGGACAAAGTGGCCATGGAGAGCATACCCCTACTGGGCTTCACCATCGCGCCAGGGAGGGAGGAGGGCAGCAGCGACCCAGGCCCCATCTTCCATCTTTACCACAAGAAAACGCTTTTCTACAGCTTCAAGGCTGAGGATGCCAGTGCTGCCCAGAGGTATGGACGGGGAAGGCCCGAGTCCCCTCACTGCCCTGAGGACAGTGCTGCCCTGCCGCTGCCACCAGGTCCTGGAGCCATAGGGTTTCCAGCTGGGTTCTTGTCCAGGTTCTTGACTCCTAAACAAAGAATTGAGCGGGACACCAGAGTAGCTGTGAGAGCAAAGATTTGTTTGAAAAACAGAACAGAAGTTCCTCCTCACAGGGCGGGCACAGACCAGGAGCAAGGCTCTCAGCCCCAGTGACTTGGTGCTGGGTTTGAAGCCTTGGGGTTTGGAGTGGGATTGAGGAGCTGGTCTGGGGTGAGACTCCCACCAGTGAGTGGCGTGGCTCGGCCGCTTGCAGGGACAGAGGAGTTCTTGACCTTTTTGCCCCTTGGAAGAATTGTCACAGTGGTCAAACCCACAGGGGTCAAAGCTGTAGACATGGTGATTGGGGTCGGGGTTGCCTAGGACGGAAGAAGTACACTGGGCAGGAGCCGAGCCACTGGTGGCCTTCTCATTGTGTTTAGACCTGAGCGCCCTTAGAAAGTGGCTCCAGCCCAGAACACGGCTGTGAGGGCACCTTCCCACTGCTCTCCGGCCTTGTCCTTAGCCACTTCCTGCCTCAGTGTCACAAGGGCAGAGCGACTGTAGTGATTCATCCATGCAGGAGGGAGCTGACCCAATCCCCATTCACACCACGTCCCTAGTCTTCTGCTAAACATAGAGAGCATGTGTGAGAAACAGGTAGGAACACAAGGTGGCCCTGGCCTCCAGGCTGTCACCGTCACCCTGTGACCTGAGTCCCCGGCAGAGCCATGACCCGATGTTCTCTGTCTCCAGGTGGATGGAGGCCATGGAGGACGCCAGCGTGTTATAGCAGTCGCCCAGTGTGGAACTGAAGCAAGTTCATGGCTAGACAGGTGACCCTGCCAGGAGCCACACCTCATCCCAGCCCACCTGGAGCATGGCCGGGGACTGGAGGAGGATCGCCAGACCTGGCTTCTGTTGTCATATTTCCCAGCCCATCGTGAATTATTTTCTTACCCAGAAGTGAGCTAAAATGGAGTAACATGAAGATGTGGAAACCAGTAGCAACTTCAGGTAGAAACACAGGCTTTCAGTAGAAACAGCTTTTCCGGTTTGTCCTCAAAGTAGATTCATCACCTTTCATGGTGGCCACTGGGCCTCAGGTGACGTAAGTGGCAGCAGTGACAGCTGCTGTCCTCAGAAGCACTTTATCGTCCTGCTGAGCTGCAGCCTTCAGTTCCAAGTTTCCTAAGCCTTTACTGCATCCCAGGGACACCAAGCCACCCAGGTCACTGTCCTCCATCCAGCAAGGATGAAGCAGGAGGATCTTCCTCCAGCTGAGCATGGTGGGGCTCCCTCTGTCTCTCCATGGCATCCTCCTCGGAAGATGGCATCAGCTCTAATTTATTGCGTGCCTTTCTGCGCCTGCCACTTTCATGGGCAATGCGAGTTTACGAACCTGTCCTTCTGCAGATACACTATTTCCCAAAAGAAGTGAAAAAAGGAGAGAAGATGGGACTTCAGAAGGTGAACAGTAGTGGCTGGAAGAAGAGACGCTACGCCCTGGGGCTGGGTCCCTGCCAATGTTGCTGTTGGGTTCTGAGGGCACCGATGGCCAGGGCAGCATCCCCGGCAGGAATGTGGCCACAGGCAGCCTCTCGCTGCAGACATTGTAAAGCACCACTATCTGAGGACTACTTATTTACATTCAATATCTCCAGGGAAATGTTTTTTTCTAGTTTGCAGTTCTTTTAAAACGTTTACATTAAACATGTCCTGATTCAAAGCAGGGAGCAGACAGATCTTCTGTTAATGCCTGAGGGCTCATTTCCGTTGGAATCACCTCACTCCCAGTCAGTGGCCCCATCTGCAGCTTCGTCTCCTGCAGTTTTAGCCATGCAGGGTCAACTGTGGTCTGAAAATATTAAGTGGAAAATTCCACAAATAAACAACTCATACGTTTTAAATAGTATTTATTATAATATATTGGTTTGGGGTTTGGGGGGTTGGAGAATTTTTCTGAGACGGGGTCTTGATATGTAGTTCAGGCTGGCAGTGATCCTTCCACTTCAGCCTCCAGAGTGCTGGGATTATAGGTGTGCACCTCCCTGCCTGACTGTTACAGTATTTTGTTATAATTGTCCCACTTATCATCGTTGTTACTAATCTCTTCGTGAGCCTAATCTCTAAATTAAACTTGTACATATAGGGAAAACCCAGTCTGTACAGGCTTCAGTGCTGTTCATAGCATCAGGCATTCCCTGGGGTCCTGGGATGTGTCCCCCAATAAGGGGACTGCTGTGACAGGTAACAGGAGTATCCACCCCTGGCCCTTGTCAGTGCCTAGCTCCAGATAGTCTTTACTGCATGTTTTTGTGGGACGGGGCAGCACTGGGGACAGAACCCAGTGCTTATGTATGTGGGGCGAATGCTCTGGCCCAGCCACACCCGTGCCTCCTTTTACCTCCTAACACCTGTTTCCAACGCTCTGCAAAGAGGGAATGTTTACACTGATGGACCTATTGATGGTCTCCTACAGGGAGCCCATGCAGCCACAAGGACCCTCCTAGGCGCCCGGCAACAGGTTGGGGCCATCCTTTTGGGGACACCTGGCTCCTCAGTCACACACATCCACATTCCCTCTGACTTTACAGCCCACCTGGAGCAGCAGGGAGAAGCCCCTGAGCTGGTCTGAGGCACAGTCATCTGCAGGGTGCCCTACTGGAGGGATGGCTGCTTACCTCATCCCAGGCACAAGCAGCCTGTAGCACCCCCAGCAAAAGAGGTGCCGCCCACTGTGGCCCCAGAGCTCCGTCCTCTGTCCCTTCCTCCTGGAGTGAGGGAGGACACAGACTGAACATGCAGCTGTGGTCCTAAACCTGTGACCCCTGGGAGGGCATGGCATCCTCACAGCCCATGGGCCCCACTCTCTGATAGGATGGAAGGACAGGACCTTCCTCTTCATCCCGGGAAATGGCTCTGCAGGCTGAAGGCCTCTGTTCATCGTCTCTTTTCCTTTGTGGTGTGTTGTTTTGTTTTGTTTCTGTTTGGTTTTTTATTTTTGAGACAGGGTCTCACTCTGTAGCCCAGGCTGGCCTCAAACTCAGTAGGATCCTCCTACCTCAGCCTCCGAAGTGCTGGAATTATAAGCATGTGCCACCACACCTGGTTCCAACCCTTCACTTGTTTGACAGCGTCAATGCTTTCACTGAACACAGAGGCCCATGTGGTCACCAAGGCTCCTGAGGCTGAGCCAGGGTGGCAAAACCAGTCCTGGCTGTGGTGTTTTCTGCTGCATTGGAGGGCATTCTCAGCGATTCACCTGTCCCTGTGGCCTCTGTGATCATGGAGACCTGAGCTCCTACACAGGCCTAGTTGGTACGGGGCACAGATGTGCCCATGCTGAGACCTCTGTTCACAGAAAGCACAGGAAATAATCAGGAAATCAGCTCAAAGCAGGAAGTTCGAGGCAGGGCGAGCCTGGCTGAGGAGCAGACTCCTGGGGTCTTTCTGACCCACTGCCTCAGGGTGGGCTACAGGAGGCCACACTCGGCCGCTGCTGCCCCTGCACAGCCACTGAGGACAGCAACTCCTGCACAGGCCTGAGCCCTCTTAGCCAACTGCAGTAGGGTCCCCACAGGTCTGAGTGCTGAAGCCTGGTCCCCAGGACTGTGCTTTCAGGAGGTGATGGCACTTTCAGGGTCACTGGTGTGTCCTGGAGGGGACTGTGGGACCCGGCTCTTGCTGGCTCTGACTTCCTGGCTCATGTGGGGAGCAGTCTGCTCCACTGCCATCCAGCTGGGCCTCCCGATATGGGACCAGAGCATCAGAAGGGAGTAAGCTCTTCTCTTTATAAGTCAATGCTTTCTTGGGCCAGGCATTTAGCTCAGTGGTTCTACCACCTGTCTCACAAAGGCAAGGTCCCAAGTTCGATCCCTGGTACCAAAAAAAAAAAAAAAAGTCAGTGCTTTCTTGCATTTCCTTACAGCGATGGAAAGCTAAGCCAGTCACCAGGGCTGGGGGCTCACCTAGTGGCACCGTACACACCTCAAAACTTCTGGAAAAAGACTGCAGTTTGGGCTGGTGAGATCCCAGGTCTGTGCCTTGCCAGGGAGTTGGGATAATCTGTGACAGAATACATCAGGGCAATTATTTGGCCATCTATTTTATAGACGAGATGTGATTAAAAACTATGGCAAGGGCTGGGGATTTAGCTCAGTGGTGCCACTGCCTGCCCTGCAAGTGCAAGGACCCAAGTTCGATCCCTGGTACCAAAAAAAAAAAAAAAACTATGGCAAATGTTTAAATTTCAAAAATATTACACATTGCCATGAATTCCCTCCAAATCCTTCCCATTGCTGTGAACACACTTAGCCCATGGTTCTTGGCACTTTCTGAAGCAGCTCTTAAGTCCTCTTTCCTGAATGTCTGTAGTTGTACTGTCTTGGCTGCCTTGATGTCCTAAATCAATTAAAATGTTTACCTTTCATGGTAATTTTGACTTTGGAGAAGAGCCAGGAGTTGGACAGTGCCAGATCCAGTAAATAAGACGCTGCGGACACAACATCATGTTTTTACCAACCTGCTTTATGGTTGGATAGCACTTGGCAGCAGCATTTACCATATTTTTTAACACAACTGATAGACACTCATGAAAGAGGACTTCCAGAACTTCTGTAGAAAGTGGCAAGAATGCTGGGATAAGTGTGTTGGAAGCGAGGGGGAGTGTTTTGAGCAAGATCAATGGCAACATGTCTTCTACTATAATAATTTTTAAACAGCTGTAATAATTTTTTAAATATTCACTGTATCTTTTGATCACCCCTTGTATTTGTTGTTACAGGAAGTGATGTGAGGAGACTGACTTGATATTAGTGATCTTTTAAGCTCCTAATCAAAAAACATTGTTAAACCACAGCTGAACAGCACCAACTCTCAGGATTCTTAGCAGAGCCTTTCTGTGGCCAGCAGCAAGGATGCCTTATGGGCCTGAGCCTTGATTTTCACTGAGTTTTCCCCAGAGACCTGCTGAGGTGAGTTCTGTTGCTCTCCCCATTCTGCAGATGAGAAAAAAGGTCAGAAACATCAGGTCACTTTCCTGGGGGTCACACGGCAGCTACTGGCACAGTCAGGACCAGCGAACATCAAAGCCCACACTGCACCTGCCTCCCAGTGGGCTTCTTCATGCTCCTGAAGGCTGCAGCAGTTTCCAGACACCTGCAGTGCAAATTCCCAACCAAATCTTTGGACCATTTTCTTCAAGGTCTGAGGATGCAGCTCAATGGTAGAAGTGCGTTTAGCATGCATGAGACTCTTGGTTACATCTCCAGTACCAAAAATTAAGTAAGACTTTTTGAGACATGGTTTCACTATATGTTCCAGGTTGGCCTTGACCTCACCATGATCCTCCTGCCTCAGCCTTCTGAATGCTGAGATTACAAGTGCGCACTACTACACCTCGGAAAAATGTTTATTGCTAAACATTTTGTGGGCCAAGGTGAAAAATGACTGTTGCCTTTCACTGTAACCATAATGTCACACTCACCATGTCACACTTGCCATAGTGGTAGAGTGCTTGCTTAGCATGCAGGAGGCCTTGGTCCCATCCCTATCACTGAATAAACAGGCAAACTTAACCTATCAGTAGCACTGGAAGCCTTGAAGGCTGTTGTCTACATCAGTTAAGGTGACCAGTTCAGGGTTCAGCCAGGAACCCTGAGGGGTTTGTATTTTTGAGGCAGGGTCTCACTTTGTAGCCCAGGCTGGCCTCCAATTCTGGCTGCCCCAGCCTCCCAAGTACTAGGATTACAGGTATGCGATACCATGCCTTGCTGCCCTGAGGGCCTTTTAATTTTATTAGTACCGTTTGCAATACATAATGATTACACCATTGTGGGGAGCTAATACATGTACATAACACACCTTTTTTTTCTTCCCCTCCTCTCCTTGCCCTTATTTCTTGCTCCCCTTCCCATTTGCAAAAGATCTATCTGTTTCCTATTATCTTTTATTTTGCTCTTTAAATTATTCATACTTGGGGTTTCTCATGTGAGAAACCATGTGATATTTAAGCTTGTGTGTCTGATTTACTTCCTTGGCATTACAGTCCCAATGTACATCCATTTTTCTACAGATGACTTGTTTCTCCTTCTTTACAGCACAGTAGTACTCCATTGGTTATTAATAACCCATTTGCTTTATCCACTCATCTCCTGATCGACATATAGGTCACTTGCAAGATTTAGCTATTATGAATTGTACTGCTATAAACATGGGTATGCATGGGATCACAGTAACATCCTTAACTCTTTTGAGAATATGCCTAGAAGGAGAATAGCTGGCTTGAATGATATTTCTACTTCTAGCTTTTTGAGGACCCTCCACACTGATTTCCATAGTGGCTTCATAGTTTACACTCTCAACAATGCAAAAGGGTTTCTTCTCCCTGCAGCCTTGCCAGCACTTGTTACTTGATTTCTCCATGAGGTCTCTCTTCCTGGGGTAGGGTGGAATCCCCATGGAGCTGACAGCCAGCTGCAGGCCCTGTCCATATGCTCCCTCCACACCCTCCCCCCAGCCCCACAGCCAGATGAGGCCTCAGGACAGATGCCTGCAGGGCCTGGGCCTCTCAGAAACCCAGCCACATCACCATCTGTGGAAGGCTTATTTTCAGGTGTTCTGGAAATGGACTCCCACACTTGCCTGACTATAAATGCTCAGAGCAACTTGGATTGCCTAGGTGGTAACAGACTCCACGGACGAGTCAGGCAACCTGAGATGCACTGATACTTACTCCAGATGGTCAGGGGGCATGATGGAAACTGTCTCCTGGGGCTGCAAATGCCCAGGCACCCCTGGAAGGTGAGGAAGGGGCTGGGTGTCACGCTCGAGGCTGTGGGTAGGCAAAGGGGGCCTGGACTCTGTGACGCCATTCTGTCACAATGCCAGGTGTGGCCCAGCTCTAAGAACTAGATGCTGGTTACAGAGGGTCAGAGCACACCCACTCGGGGACAAGGGATTACAGGGAGGTGACTGTGCCTCAGCTACTTGGGAACAGCTGGGTGGATGGGGCTGCCTGAGACAGGAGCGGGGAAGGGGGGGGGGGGCTCGTCCCTGGTAGCAGGGAAGAGCAGAGTGCAGTAGCAGACAACCAGCGAGCAAAGGTGGAAACAAAAGCTGTAGTAGGGCCAGGTTGCTCAGGACCACTAAACTCCCCTTCTCAGAGCATGGTATTCATTTCCTCAAGCCCAGAGACCTTGGTGATGGCCTCCTAAGCAGAAACGGATGAAGTAGCTCTGGGTAACTGTTGGGGATGTCTTAAAAATGCCACTTTGCTTTCTTGTGACACTCACTCTTGGAAGGCACCTGCCACACTGTGACAAAGCCCAGTCCACACTGTGTTCCCACTGGGGCCGTCAGGCCAGCCTTTCAGGTGACCCAGCTCTAGGTCCACTGTGGCTGCAAACAATGACTGTTTTTAGGCCACTGAGTTGGGGTCAGTTACACAGCACCCTGAGGACAGTAGGCAAATTAAAAACATGCAACCCAAAGAATAAGGCAGCTCAAGAGGCACTGGGTCCAGAAAAATCTCAGCCAAATTTTGGAAGATGGCACTATGCAGACACCAACTGCAGAGGGACATGCAAGGGCCACACAAGCGGGACATAGCTTGGAGAGGAGGTACAAGGTCTGAGTCCCACTTTCCCTGCATCTGCACAGGAAGCAGGTTTACTCTCTGGAGAAACACAAAAGCTGGGGACCGGGGTGCAGGAGGGATGGCTCTCCAAAGCACATACACTCACAGGGGGCTCCTCCCCACCAGCCCTCCCGAGAGGGTGATATGACACAGAAAGCAGATGTCCTCTGGGACAAGCACTCTCAAATGACGAGTGGGAGCAGGTGGTTTTTCTGAGACCATCACCTGACTATCTTTCATATTTTCAGGACCCAGTCTCCTACAAAGAGCAAGAGCTGCAGCTCTAACAGAGTCCACCATGGAACCACTGGTGCCCATCTCTGAACAATGATCAGGAGGCCCGGAAACACTCTTCCTGTGTCCCCATGGATATGGCGTTCTGCCTCCTGAGTAACCTGATGAGTCTGTACCAGAGGCCAACAGTGACAGAAGCACAAGGTGGGTAGTAAGAGTCCTTGAGGGCAGAAATTGTGGTTTACAAATGTGAGCCAGGGGGTCTTGGAGAAGTCACCCTCCCTGGTTAAGCCTGCCTCTTCAGCTGCAGAAACGGGATAAGAGCATCCACTCCCGACAATTACGGTGAGATTAAGCAGGCTAACCGTGTGAGGAGTGCCTAGCCTGGCACTCAGAAACCATGCCTGAGCCAATACCAGAGGCTTTCAAGTTTATTTCATAGAGCGTATCACAATTATACAAGTAATACAAACAGTTGCTGGCCAAGTAATTACTACGTACAGTAACAGAGCAGAAACTACTACAGAGAAATTGGTACAAAGCCATGCTAGGTACTTCCAAAGGTGATTATTGTGTTCTCAGTCTGAGGCATCAGCAACTGCTCTGCGTTATAGCAGGGGGATACCCCAAGGCCAACTAATGGGTTGTGGTGCTGGGACTCAAACCCAAGGCCTGTACATATGAGGCAAGTGCTGCTGAGCCATATTCCCCACCTCAACTGTAATTACATCTCCAGAAACAGGACCATTCCTAGTGAAATCTTTGGGCTGGGACCGTTGCTCAGGGGTAGTGCACTTTAGCATGAGCATGAACCCCACCCCTGGACGTCCCTTCCTCCCAAAAAGGTAAAATGTCAGCTTGATACTAATTTGGAAATTTCAGTGCATCTGCAACTATTGTTTAGAGTTTGATTTCCATTGAATCAACACAATGTAGATATAAAATAACCCTGAATGGCAAAAAAGCATATCCACTCTGTGCTGGGTACAAAAGTACACAATCCAGTTCCTGGTGGCAGCTCCTAGACAGGTCAGTGCTTCCTCACAGGGCAGTCTGTGAAGCACTGTGAAAGCCACATGGGCAGTGAAGCCATTGCACCTTGCCGGTTTCTCTGCAAGCACCAGTACAATGTGAGCATTTGTGGTTGTCCTGCGCTGCCGCCAGAAGCACTCAGCCACTGTGCACAGGGACAGGGACAGTGAGGGCCCATGGGGACAAAGCAGAGCTCCACCCAGGGCTCCCTGATACTGCACCCAAGGGTGGCTCTGTCGAATTCTGTCACTCCAGACAACATTATCCCTGGGGATCAACAATCTCCTGGCGTGAGATCTGAGCTCTCCAGAGCTCAAAAAATACTAATGTAAACTGCATCTCAAGAGATGAAGCCACAGGAGTCATTTTGTTTCATTCTGTTGCTCACATGTGCAGATGGGGTTCAGGCCTGGGCGCACTGTATCTCCCATCAGAGCTCCCAGGCTCACTCCACCTGCAGCTGTGTCCCAGAAGTGCCCGACTGCACCTTGCTTTTAAAAGCTGGTAAAGCAATGGTGAACGTTCTGTCAATGCACCTGTAGGTGCTGATTAACAGAAACCCAGAGAAGAAAGTATGGCTGGCACAAATGAGCGGTGTGCCTTGTGTGACTGTCAACCCTACCACCGGTTATAAAGCCACTCTAAGGCAGGAGAATTTCAAGTTCGAGCCTAGCTTGGGCCACTTAGGGAGTGTCTCAAAAATAAAAAAAGGCTGATGATGTGGCTCACCTGTTACCATCTGGGACACTGATCCTGCACCTCAGGAAAATAAAGTTTAAGAGTCTTCATTCACAGAAAATTCTAATCATCTTAGCTGCTGTTTAGTATTTTTTACAAATCCAGTACAATTTTTAATGTTTCTCCCAAAACCTACTGCTGTTGAATTTCTACAGTGTATAGAAGCACTATTTAGGATTAAAAACTTAACTTTTGAAAAGGTTCACAGCAAAGCAGCCCGTGTTACCAGGCTTCGCCGTTAAGACCCAGTCAGCGAGGCAGCACGTGGCCTTCTGCTCCGTCCCTCACCCTCATCATCTTCCCCCTCCAGGCGACTTCCAGCTTGGCAAGGAAGGGAAACGGTGTGGAGAACACAGGCGAATACTCAAAGCACATAGTAAGCATTTACTCCGCACAACCCAGGAAAGTGCAAGAAAAAATCCTGCGAACGAACATTCCCGACCCGCCATCTGGCTCACCGCACCCCGTCCTGCCCAGATCCCGGACCCTGACAGCAAAGCCGCACCCGGAAGAGGGAGACCCCGACTCCCGCTCCTACGGGGACCCCCAGCCGCCTACCCCCTGAGGGGTGGACCCCCGACTCCCGCCAAGGGAGATCTTCCGCAGGAGGGTCCTCGAACCCTGCACCCCAGGGAAGGACTCCACCCTCGATACCCTGCCCAGAGAAGGGGACCCAAAACGATCTCCGCCCGAGAAGGGGACCCTGACCCTGAGGAAGGGACTTCGACCCTGATCCCCGCCCCGAAGAGGGGACCCCGACCTTGATCCCCGCCCCAATAGGGGACCTCGACCCCGATCCCGAAACTGAGGAGGGAACCGACCCGACCTGCGCCCGCGCTCGCAGGCCCGCCCGGCGGCCTCGGACCGGGAGGAGCGACGCGGCGTCCGCGCGCGCGCAGCCAATCGCGAGCCGCCCCCCCGCCGGGCAGGCGCCGGGAAGAGGAAGCGCCGCAGTCGCCCTCCTCCTCAGCGCGCGGCGGCGGCGGCCGGGG